GAGTCGCTGAAATGAATCGATAGACGAACGGTGCTTTTTCTCTATCTAGATGACGTCAACTTGACAAGTTATTTGAATAAGATACGCCCACTTATTGCTAAGATGGATTCTGATTGGCTTTTTTAAGCTCAGAAATGAATTCAGCTTTAAGGAATTAGACTAAATCTGGTATAAGCTCCAAAAAAACATACATTTTTGGTTGAACTATCCATTTAAATGAACTGATCATGAATTGATGATGTATATACAATTAAATAGTGCACATAAAGAAACAATGTTATAGTTAAACGTGAGCAAACGGACCTGCAGTGAGAAAAGCACGACGGTGAAGCAGACGAAGGTAGTGATGCCCACAGCCATGATGACCGTATCGGTGTTGTAGAAACTGGCGATCATTCCAACCATATACGACAGACTCAGCGTCAGGATGGACTGAGAAAGACAGAGAAAAGATTTTCATTTTTATTTGAAATTGGTTAATGTTCTCAAATATCAATACACACAATACTTCAATGAGCTCATTGTTTCTGCCTTAAATTATTAATTTTTTGCATAAATTAATAAATTTTTTAATAATTTATTTTAGCTAACTGTGATTTGTATATATACATTTCTAAAAATACATAACTTAGACAGTTACCTCTGATAACAGATCACTCTAAATTGTAATGTGCACTTTCTGTGAAGCTGCTTTGAAACAATTTGTATTGTGAAAAGCGCTATACAAAGGCAATAAAAAAGATTATTGTGCCGATACTAATAAAATCTATATATGGAATGTGATGTTAATTAGCCTTTCTTTCCTGTGATGGGGCGAAGATGCAAAAGTTTACCTCGATTTAAATGCCAGATGTTGTTTATTGTGTAACCAAATTTGCTCAAACCAAATTTAAGACAAGATTTTTTAAGGACCCACAGAATCCCGATTAATATATAAACATAAATATGCATGCATGTATGTATGCATGTACGTATGTATAAATGTATGCACGTATGTATGCATGTGCATATGGATCACCATCTTTGTTGATCCTGGATCAACTTTCCAGTTAACCAATCAGATTTGAGGGACAAGTTTACAGTTTATGTCAAGTTTAGGCTTAGAACCAGGGTGAAGTACTTAAACATCAGTGTTATTCACCTCGCATTACCCTCTGATTTTAGGGAAAAGTTATGGTTAGGGTTAGGTTTAGGGATTGGGTAAGGACTACATTTTGGGACAGGAATGTTGATCCAGGACCATGTCTTACTTGGCAAAATCACGGTGACCTACGTATGTATGCATGTTTGTATGCATGCATGTGTGTATGTATATATGCATATGTATATATGCATGCATGCATGCATGTATGTATGGATGCATTCATGTATGCATGCATGTATGCATGTATGTATGTATGTATGTATGCATGTATGTATGCAAGTATGTATGCATGTATGTGTGAATGCATGTATGCATGTATGTATATATATTTATATACAAATTAAAAATCTAAAATTAAGATATAATGTATTGAAAATATAAGTATATAATGTATATAATAAACACATTATATCATATACATAATAAACAAATTATAAAACCCATATATAATAAACAATACTGCATATAAAAACACTGAAAAATAGTGTAAATATGTGGATCTGTACCAGTGCCACCAGGTTCCAGGGGTGTCTGCGGCGAAACTCTCCACAGCAGCTGAGGACGATCAGGGACACAAAGAAGATCGCGTAGGATACGTAGTACGTCCAGCGATTTCTCCGTACAAACAGTTTGACGTCAGATGAAAAGGTGAAAATGGACACAAAAGAGAAGGTGACCAACAGCTGCACAGTCAGGACCAAAAACACCTGAGGAGAGAGTGCTCTTCTTTAACACACTGTACTGCTACATACAGGCAATTCTAAAAATATTCAGACACTAGATATCATTTTTGATATTTGTTTACTAGTGTGTGCAGGACACTATAGTTCATTTATGTCAGTGAGGAGAGCAAAATGAAGTAAACTGTCACATATTATACCCAAATATAATATTCTAATTCTGTACAATATTTATATACAATGAATCTGTGCCTTACTGTTTACCTTTCTAATAAAGGCCTGTCGAATACTCTTATCTTCCCAGCCACAGTTTGTAAAATCATCATTGCCGTAGTAGGAGGGGGGTCCGTCTCCACCGTGGTATCCAGGGCTCTCAATAGATGCTGTCGAAACACAAATAAATAATGTGATGATGGGTGAAATCTAATGCATGTTAGAGCCCTCAAAGCTTTTATCGTACACTGAAGATCAAGACCTGACTTTCTCTGTGTTTAAAGGTGCCATCTGACATAATAAATCAAATCCTACTCCATATTCCATAACAGATGGGGGCAGTATACCTCCAGAAAATAAGTTGTGCTCCTACCATCGCGCATGTTATTCAAATCATTTGACATGATAGTAAAAGGTTGGAAGACCGCAGTTTCACGTGGAGCATTTGGAGATTTTTTAGAGATCAGCGACTCAATGAACAACATCAACACTAAATGATGAAGACCGTCTCATAGACGCCTGTCTCAAAAACAAGTCTCAAAAATAAAAGCTTGGGCAATTATTTGAAGTTTATGGTATTCGTTTTGTTCATATTACACTTTTATTGTTAGTTTGAATTAATTTGACAGACAGCATTCGCTGATGTTGATCAAGCTAGCGCCATTCAGAGCTGCCAACTCTTAACGAATTCACCGTGAGACACACGCAATTGGCACTTAGCAAGCAGGTTAGTTAAGCTCTCAGATTCTGTCAATTTTATTACGCAATTCAAAGAATAAATACCGTTTTGGCGCTTGTACATGTTACACCAGAGATCCCTAGCACACGTGAACCGATCGTCTCTACTAGCTAATGGAAAAAGAACATGAACTCTGTTGAAAGATACAGTATGCTACAACTTACCAAAATGTATTCCTCATGCATAATGTCGACCAATCATTTTTTGAACTCTTCGCTGAACTGAAATGTAGTAGTGTGCTGTAATTCCACACGACTGACACCAGGTTCAAGTACACACACAAGCCGATGCGAGCACGACTCACTCGAGTACTGCAGTTTGGCTGTTGGTAATGTTGCCCGTCTGCATACCGCCTCCCATGGCCGGAACTGGTATTACGACACCTGCCGGGCCGGGGCTAGCAATTTAGCATGCTAATTCAGGTTAATATCTCGGCAGCACTATAACTTGTCAGTTTTTTAATGACATCATTGCACTTATTTCTTCTCATTCTTTTGAAGCGTGTAGCTAATTTTTTTGATATTTTTACCTCAATTATTCCATATGGCACCTTTAAGTGCTATAATCCGGTGCTTCCACCAACCCAGAACGTGAAAAGTAAACCCAGTAACTTTGTTTAGGTGAGCCTTTCTCTGAGAGCATGTCAGAAAATAAGCCGATCAGATTTCACTCTTCTTGTGACGTATGAAGAGGATCTTATTATAATATTAGCGGCCCTTAATCTGCACGTTTACACACACCAGCGACAATTGGCTTCGCGCGAGCGCCAAAAGAGATCTGTTCTAACGCACTGGAGAAGATCCAGCAAAGCCTGAAACTGTTCTGTGGTCGAGCACAGACGACACTGAACACTATTGACCAGAACATGTCAGCGCTGTCTTATAAACACCTCAGGAACTGTGAACACTTGTGGAGGAGTTCAACTTGATGAAGAGATAATCAGTGTAACTCCACAACAACTACAGAAATGCCTGCACTAACTTTCAGAAACGTCTCCGTAAGGCTGCACTCGTACTGGTTATTCCTGATTCTGGACAGTGAGATTTGCCTGCTTGTTATTGCTGGAGTCTCTGAAGCGTGAGTAAAGGCTCCGTCCTCTTCTAAACGGAGGCGGAGCTAAAGCTCATTTGCATTGAAAGGGACACACACAAACAGCATGCGTTGCTTTCACCCAAAAAGAGTCAAATTTGGCAAGATATAATAAATTATCTGTGGGGTATTTTGAGCTGAAGTTTCACAGATACATTCTGGGGACACCGTCGATTTATATTACTTATATTAGTATGGCTGTCAGTTTAACGCGTTATTAACGGAGTTAACGCAAACCCATTTTAACGGGATTAATTTTTTTATCGCGTGATTAACAGACTTTTTGTCCTAGCAAACTTTGTAGTTTTTTCACATACTTTTGCAACAGGACGCGGCATGCGTCCTGATCCATTTCGGCGTCTCGCGCTCGTCATCCACTCAAAGCCGGCTCACAAGCCGAAAGGTGTGTTTGCGGCATGCCTGTTGTTTTGTTTATGGTCTAGATCCGCTTGCGCTTTGGTCGAAGAAGCAACAAAACGTCCTCGCGCGGCGCAAGCCATTGAAATGAAAGGGTTTCAGAGTGCAGCGCGAGGACATTTTGTGCCGCACACACTCGTTTCGGCTTGCGAGCCGGCCAAATAGTAACGTTACGTTTTGAGTGGATGATGGGCTCGAGATGCCGAAATGGATGCCCTAAGATTTTGAATGGAAAGTTTACTTTTAAAAAGTTGACAAATGGTCCCATTGACAAGACCAAGTGATCTGTGTGTTTTGTCGTTGTGAACTGTATCATCATCATCACAACATGTCCAGTCCACTTGAAACACTACTTGATGATGGCCAAGCAAACACACACACACACACACACACACACACACACACACAGATGATGCAAATTCTCCACCCCCTCGTCAATAGGCTATCAGGACCTCATCAGTATTTCTTTCACCCTTTTATTGATAGACAGTGTTACATTGTGTGAGAGATTATTTATATATGTTAGTGTGAAATTGAGCACTATTCCAATGTTATTTTCAATGCTACTAAAAAAAACAAAAAAACATTTGCACTAAACAAGCCAATCCACTTTTCCATGTTGATAAGAGCATTAAAATGAGGAAAAAATAATGTAACAAATAGAAATCAAAAGACATTTAGAATAGATAAAAATGTGTGATTAATCGCGAGTTAACTATGACATTAATGCGATTAATCGCGATTAAATATTTTAATCGTTTGACAGCACTATTTTATAGCAATTTAAGCAAAATCCATAAGTGGGAATTTTCAGAGTAAAGAACAAGTAAATTTCCAAATAGTACTTTTGCATAAATCCCTCAATGTACAACAAAATAACTCTGTGTGACTTTGCCTCAATGGAGGCTGTAATAGGCTAACTGGACTAACCAGTGGACCAATCTTATGACAGCATCTTGAATGTTGGTTTGGTGGCTCTGAAACGTCGGAGTCTAAGTCTGTCATCAGAATGATTTGGTTCCCAAAAACAGCAGCATCCAAACCCAAAAAAAAATGACAGCGTAGGGCTGTCGCGGTTATGGAATTTCCCTTGCGGTTATGTTGAGTGGCTCAATAGCGCGATATGCGGTATTACCGCCATTTACAGTATTTATTTATTTAATTTATATGTATTTGTTGCTATATCAATAAAGTTTACGATGTGGACAAAAATGAGGACATTTTCAGTAACCAATGTAATCGAAACTAAACAGCGTCTACAGTATATGCGCATCGAAAGACTTTCACTCAGCGCGCATATTGTTATGACAACGGACTTTGAGCGAGTCATTGAACCGTTCATTCAACGAACACGTTTAAAAAAGCTGATTCATTAAAAGAGATGTAAAGAAACAAGATGTTAATTATTTTTAACTTTGAGGTTCAACTTTTCAAGGCTCAGCTGAGCAGCAATGCGTCGCATGGGCAACGCTGAAGCTGATGCTTCACTTATTAGAGACCCATATTAGCATTTGATTCAATGCGTGACTCACTGATTTTATTTTCCCGCGACTTCCTTGTGCTGTGGGATGCTGACCAGCGCTGCTGCTGACGCGCATTTATGGGAAAATACCCGTTAAAATGATGATGCGACAAACATTTCGCTTCCCTTTGACACGACAGGCTTTTCACGACTTCAAAGACAGACGCAGGTAATTGCACGCGCTCTGCCGATCTCTCCCATTCACTGTGTGAAGAATGTAGGTTAACACATCACCATGATAAACAGTCTTGTTATCATTATGAACTTGTTTAACATTCAATACACATGCATTAAGTTCAAAACAAGAAGGGTATAGCCTTACAAAAAAAAAAAAACGTGAATATCGCGGTTGCTGCGGTTACGTGCAATCCTCTGCAGTTGACTTGTCAGAAGCGCGGTACTACAATATTGCGGTTACCGCGACAGCCCTATGACAGCGTTTGTTGGGTTTTGTCTGGCGCTCTGAGACAAACTCGTTTATGATGGAGGGAAAAAGAGCCCGATTGTACTTACCATTAGGATCCACACCAAAGGCAGGCTGGGCGGGCCCCTGCTGGTACGGCCCCGGATTGTAGGCCTGCTGTGGGTTTGGGAACGGAGCAGGGCCGAACCCTGGTGCCATGGGTTGAACGTAACCAGGCTGGTCGTAACCGGGCTGAGGCTGGCTGTAACCAGGCTGGCCGAAACCAGGCTGGCCGTAACCGGGCTGGCCGTAGGGCCCCGGGGCCACATATGGAGGGGCCCCTGGACCCTGGCTGTAGTTGGGCGGAGGCATGCCAAAAGCATCGACTTTGGGCGGCCCATAGATGTCGCTGTGAAGGGGGTTGTTCCCCCCCATAATGGGGTAGTTTGGCTTTTCCTGAGACATGTCTCCTTCCCTCACTGGAATCCTGATATGGCCAGAAAAACAAAAAGGTTAATATGTACAGAAAAGGAAAGCAATGAAAAATATATTAAAATAAATATTTGTATTTGGCAGTGCAACTAAAAAAAAAAAAAAATCACCTTTTTTCAGTTAAAATTTTAGTAATTATTGTGTATGTGCTTTTGTCTTTTTTATGTGCTTATTTTTCATTTATTATATTGTTATTTAGGATTTATTTATTTATTTATTTTTATTTTATAAAACTATTAAAATAACTGAAATAAAGCTGAAATATCCGGAACCAAAAGACAATACAATGCTGAGTAAAGTCGCAGTTTTTGTTATTTTTGGACCAAAATGTATTTTCGATGCTTCAAAATATTGTAACTAACCCACTGATGTCACGTGGACTACTTTGATGATGTCTTTATTTCCTTTCTGGACAAGGACATTCTACCATTTCCAATGGAGGGACAGAAAGCTCTCGGACTAAATCTAAAATATCTAATGACATCATTTTTATTTTTGGGTGTGTAGTAACCCTTTAAAGTCATAAGACTGGAACATGGGCACATATAGATTTCTGTTTTTAATATGCATATAGATAATGATTAAAAATCTAAATTTAAAGAAACCAACTGATGGAGAAAAAACAAAATCTGTTTTTATTAACAGAGCGGATGTGGAAGTTTTAAGGACAAATCAGCAAAAGCAAACAGAGAAGTCAGAGGATTTCGTTTAAGAAGGATTAAAAAAGGAGAGAGATCCTCTTATGAGACATGTGGTGGATAAAGAAACACACTTTATATATTACATAGGCTTGGCTTCAGTGAGCTGAACACTGAAAAATTTGCATCAGTCAACAAGGTTACAGACCAGATCTGTACGCTTATTTAACTTCACTCATCATGAATAAAAGCTGGGTCAAACTATGGGTTGGAAGCCAAAGCGCTCAAAACTACAAATAACTAATAATAAAATATGGCCCTTATTACGTTCAAATGTGATTTTTCTAGAATAATTGTATTAAGGAAGGATGATTTCAATTGAAAAGAAAAAAAAAACATGGAGAAAATAGTCATGGCACAAATATATGAAGCTGTTAGACAACATTGCTAATAATCATAATAGGTTTCTTGAGCAGAAAATCCTCATATTAGAGTGATTTCTGAAGGGTCATGTGACACTGAAGATTGGAGTAATGATGATGCTGATAAATTCAGCTTTGTTCACTTGATATAAATTACACATTACTATATGATTACATAGAAACCAGCTATTTTAAATAGTAAAAATATTTCACAATATTACTGCTTTTCTAGGGTTTTTTTTTTTTAAATCCAGCCTTAATGAGCAGAAGAGATGTTAAAATGTGTCTAAACTGAAAGTTTTAAATTGGCTGTAGCTGAAATTGGTCCACTGACATTTTCCGATTTCCCTGAAAAGTCCCAGAGCAAAGTGTCTCTCAATTATTATTTCCATGGATATTTTGTCCATTCTGTAATCTATGGAAATATGTCAAATTTACAGCCGCAGCACTATGCCACACAACAGAATAATCTATTAAACAGGATCAAATGAGATCACCTTATATTTCTCCAAAGCTTTTTCCAAATGTGAAAAAAAATAAAAAAAATTCACTACCGCCTCAGCATTTTATATCCATGTGGATGAAGACGTTTGAAGTGAAGTGCGCACATATACATGTAAGGAATAATTGACGACAGGCCGTTGAATTGGCTTTATGCACAGCTGCACTACTTCCTGAACTTAAGCCAGCTCCTTGTTTCCTGTTTGCCATTATTGGACAAATTGATTAGTTCAGGTGTGCCTGACTTCAGTAGTCACAGCAACAATAATCAGACACACCTGACTTAACCAAGCTTGGCCAATAATGGCAGACAGGAAACAAAGGAGCTGGCTTAAGTTCAGGAAGTAGTGCAGCTGTGGATAAAGCCAATTATTAGAAAAATAATGCACACCCGAGATGGTAATACGGTCACAAGTTTTTTTATGCACGATATATCGTCCACCATATCGGTATCGGCAGATATATGTTCATTTTTAATGTTGTCGTTATTGGCCTGATAAGAAAATTTGGCCGATATATTAAAGCCGATAAATAATGTATTATCTCCTTCAGCTGAGACTCTTCAGATGCGCACTTTTCAACATGATGCTTTTGAAATGATTGGAATCACTTTGAAAAGGAAAATACAGTAAAGTCCAACATGTCTGTCAATACATAAATGTATAATTAGAACATTATAATAATTGTGTGCTTGGGACATGGTGAGACTTTTGTTTTTGTAATCAGGCTCTCTATCGGGTATCGGTATCAGCCAAAATTTTTGTATTGGTGCATCCTTATGCCTTTGCATTGGCCTCAGGGTATAACCGAGCAATTGCGTTCATCCATGAGCATAATGGCCAACAAAACACAGCTAACCAATGCACAGGAACCGAGCTAAATCAGATAAGATTAAAGAGTGGCTGAGCAGACATTTGTAATTGTCCATCTCCAACAGACAAATACCAGGCCTAATGCTCTGTGCCCAACAGAAAACAGCCACCGACTCAGACAACAGAAGTGTGGTTTGCGTAGGACAGATTGCCAACGCCCGTTGTTTGAAAAACTGTATGTTTTAAGTTTTACAGCCCCTTACTGAAAAGCAATACACAACACCAATATCAAGCAAGGCTGGGAGAACGGACATGGGTATTGAGCTGTAAAATACGCTGACAGGGGTAAAACTGGGATGATGAGCAAGCCTGAAAGTTATCCCGGAGGGGGAGAAGGTCGTGGTGACTGATCTCACAGCATCACAAGCAAAAGCACATGATCAGGGGGAATGCCATAAAATGCAACGTCACGCTGATAGAAAACGGCAGTGGTTATCAAAGTCTTGCACATTAGACACATGAGCTGGATGTTTTCTAACATGAATTTGCTTTCAATTTCTTTTGCTTGACAAAAAGAAACCATTACAGACTGTATATGGCAAGCCGCTTACGCATTTATACAACTTTTTTTTTTCTCAAATTCACAAAAATTATTTCACTATTAAATATATACTATTTATTTATTAAATACAGTACTCATTTTTTATTTCAATAGTGACTATCTACTATGCTAATTACTTCTGGAGCCTAGAACAGTTTTACTAGTTACTATTCAAGTCAAGTCAAGTCAAATATTTTTATATAGCGCTTTTCACAATACAGATTGTATCAAAGCTGCTTCACAGTATCAATCAAAACAAATTAACAGTGTTTGTTTATTACTGAAAAAAAAAGACATCCAAGTTTGGTAGAGCTGATCAATGGTATGATGAGTCATTTAATTTGAATATCCCCAACTGAGCAAGCCAAAGGCAACAGTGGCAAGGAACCAAAGTGACCCGATGGTGGCAAAAACTCCATCAGATGACCCAATGGAGAAAAAAAAAAAAACCTTGGGAGAACCCAGGCTCAGTCGGGGGTAGGGTTGGGAACCGAGAACCGGTTCTTATCCGGAACCGTGCAAAATTCCTAAGTTTCGGTTCCGACAACGGTTCTGGTGCGATATGTGGGTGACGTGCTGGGAGTATAATGTTAGATTATCCTTAGCGTCTCATCTCAAAGCGCAGACAGCAAGAGAGAGAGAGAAAGAGTGTAGAGCTGCTGCATGATTAATCTTTAAAAGATTTCGATTCACTCACACCATCTTATTCCTAAATGACAAAAACTTCACCCCTGAAGTTGCGGTTGGCTCTCACACGCGCAGCATTTGTGTCACACACACACACAAACAAGCACGCGCCCAGTCACTATCTAGTAGCCTACATTCAAATCTGTTTGCGCTGAGAGAGAGCAGTTGTCCATATGAAACTGCTTTACAATCACACAATTTAAGTGTTAACTTACAAATATTCAAATGATTAACGTTAGAAGAGATAAAAAGTTTATAGTTTGAGTAAACATTGACAGTAGTAATCAAAACAGATGCAGTCCGTAACTTTTTTGTGTTCAGAATTTACAACCTGTATACAATGAGCGAGTGCATCATGAATGCTTTTTTTTTCAACCATGTTTTTGTCTTATCTTGAATCACTACGTTAAGCCTGTAATAAGCGTTAATACTCAGACTTCTTGTTCAGACTGTCCGGCGGATCGCAGCCGCTGCGGAGTAGCCCAATGCCTGCGTGACTCGTCACGGACATAAACAGAGAAAAAGTAGCTCCGGCAACAATGTTCTTCCGCAAGACATATGCAGTTCTGTTTATTAACTGCCAGAGCGCCGATTTATCCAGTAAAGAAATAAGTAAAGTCTTAAATTATGAATCAACCATTCAAACCGTTTTAAAAGATAATCTGTTCTATACACATCTTACATGTGTGTTCAAGCATATTCTACCCCTTCTGAGAGGGTATTCTTCACTGTTGGAGATACAATAAGCAAGGAGAGGTCCTAAATTATTCTAGAGACTGAAGATTTTTTTTTTTTCTTCAGATTTTTTTGTGTGCAGAAATTGCTTAATAATATGTTGAATTTGTTTACATTACCAGTCTGTTAAACTCATTTGTCAAGTACTATAAGAAATAAACACAAAAAAGGATTGTGGATTTTTTTTCTTACTAATATTTTTTTTAATTTATAGGAACCGGAATCGGAACATTTCTCATGATTCCAAACCCTAGTAGGGGGCCAGTTCTCCTTTGGCGTTTATGAACTTGAGGCCAAATTTACAGTAACTGTAAGATGAAAAAATTTATGTGAATGCCTGGCTAAATAGATGCGTCTTCAGTCTAGTTTTAAACTAAACTACTATTCAGTAGTAATAGTATATAACCAATAGTTAGACAATTAAATCCAGTTTTTCTATTATTTATTTATTGTAAAGTCAAATTAAAAATCAAATGAAAAATATTAATCAAATTTAAATAATAAAAAATACAGGCAATCCGATGCAGGGGATGCAAACTGATCTGAGGGCACGGACGCTTCGGTCTGCGCATGCGTCGGAAGTGATCGCTTGCGCGTGTACGTCACTCATTGTTTACACAGAGATTTCGGAAGTTTTACCTTTCACTAAACATATTTAGATATATCGAAATTGTCTTCCATTGCGATTTCCTGTATATCTAAATATGTTTAGATCTTCACAGTGAAAGGTAAAACTTCCGAAATCTCTGTGTAAACAATGAGTGACGTACACGTGCAAGCGATCACTTCCGGCGCATGTGCAGGCCATAGCGCCCGTACCTTCAGATCACTTGGACATGGCTGTGGTTACACGAGGTAAAAACGCTATAAATACTGCTCGTTTTCTCACACAAACCGCTCTCGTTTCGTGTCTTAGGCCATCAATGTGTACATACATTTACGAGTCATTCAATCATGTTTAATTTGGACTTCTCAGTGCATGCTCTTTGAGGTGAACCCAGGGTGGACCCCCTAAACTTACATTATATGACTGAGAGACAACAACGGTTTGACCGAAAAATATCAAAATTAAAAATACTGTGGAAACAAAGACACCTACATCTTGGATCCAGCCAAAACATATCACAAATTAATTTCAAAGTGAACTATCCCTTTAAACAATTATTCAAAGAACCCCTGTAATGAAAATCAACTTTTTAAAAGTTGTTTATGTCTATGTGGTACTTTAAACGTGTTAATTCATAAGTCGACAGCATTGCTGAGTATTTTCTCTTTAAAAATGCAGTTAACCAAAGACAGTCTCAAAAACAGGGTTTTAAAAGCACAGTTGTTCGCTATGTCATAAATGCTATGATGAACTATATACCTTTTTTGTTGTTGCATAATTATTTCTAACACAGACACAACTAGATGCTAAATGAGGCAAGGGTGTCAAGCTATTTTAAGGAATTATGAAAAAAAAACGTTTAAATATGTACTTATTGTGATCAAATATGAGTTTTAAGAGTTAAAATGATTGACTACAATGGCACTTTCATGCAGTGCATGCAGTACTTCGCTCATCTTGTGGCCTCAGGAGAACAAACTTAAAGCTTTTCTTCCTAAATGAAATTATGCCCTTTAAATTAGATTAGTGATATATTAGTATAAAACTCTAATTCGTTTTTTAAGCCATTTTGGCTTATTGGACACTATACCAGCATCCATTCCAACTGTTACTAGAAAAATTTCTAATCAAAAGAATGACTCCTAGTATTTAATGAACAGTTAGTAGTTAAACCGAAAAATGTATTACAATAATCCACTACTGGATTACACACTATTAATTAAGAAATAAGTAACAGTCAGTAACTAAAACAAGACTAGTTAGGATAGGAATACATGTTAAATCGGCTTGCCACACAGATTATGTGATCAGATGCAGTCCATTCAAACTGTAACGTTACTATAATTATGGATGAACGAGTGACCAGATTAACATTTTTTTAACATTAAAATATTGTAAGTGGCTCCAATTACTTAAGATTTTACACATAAAACCTGGAGGTATAAATTATGCATTTCAATGAGCCATTTGGGACACAGATGATGTAAACATTTAAATATCGCACTTTCCTCTATTCAGCAACAAATCTGTTTGTTATCAGACTCTTCCTTTAATATCCATTCAAAAATCGAAAATACAATCTATAACTTACTTCAGTAAGCCGTGACATTAGCTCATTAAAAGCAGGATTAGGCTAGGCTAACCTAACGATAAATCTGTCTTAATCTTTCTGATATAACGTTCGGCCCGCTGCATATAACGTTATCGTTATTATGACAGAAACCAACCACATTCGATTTGACATATCTAATGTAAACATAACAAAATTACAGCATCAAATTATATCTCTATGACGACAAAAATGGCAGAGCTTGTAAACTTTCACGTCAAAACATAAACCTTGATTTTGCGCACCGCCAAACAACATGACAACATTAGCGCCATTCCTGCGCATCCACCTGCGTTATTTAACAATATTCGGGCAAATATTCGCGCTGGCAGAAAACTAGACAGACTTACCCTTCAGATTAGAAGACGCTCAGTAAAAAACAACGTTTGTATTCTAAATAACAAAATAACAACGGAAATAGAGTCCGTGTTTATTGTTAGGTGTTGTTGACGCTGTCGCTGGCTGTGTTAATGCTCGTCTGCTCTGAATCCGTTAGCCACGCCCACCGGACTGAGAAGTCACGTGACCCATGAGAAGCGCAGTTCACATGAGACTTTCCCATTGCGTAATTGTTGGAAGGTTCTACAAAAATCTACTAGTTGCACACACGTTTAAAAGAAAGGAAAGATATTTAGAAGAGACAGAAAATTTATTTTTCTAGCGTTCAGAGGTTCTCGGTGTCCAAAACTACTTTAGTGTTGAACAATTTCCTCTCTTGCAGATGGTAGTTAACTTGTAAGTTTTGCATTATTCAAATGATTTAACAAAACATGCAAAATGGTGCATGTAAAAAGGGAGAATTGATGACCAGTAACCCTATGTCATTATTTAGAATAGTATGAAATATTTTAATTTAATCCTTTTTTTTTTCCTTAATCCTCTTAAGTAGTGGTTCTCAAACACTAATAATGTAATAAAAATAGTAATAGAGTAAAACACTAATAATTCTGCCAAAATAATATAACACTAATACAGACACACACACACATGTGTGTGTGTGTATATATATATATATATATATATATATATATATATATTTGGCAGCCTTGGAGTCAAAACGGTTGAGAACCATTGCCTTTATAACCTTAATCGTGAAGTTTTATTAACTGTTACAGTTTTATAAGGCAAAAACATGGACACACATATTGCATAGAGGTTCTCTAAACAAGTTTATTAAATGTTTTCACCACATATTTACAAACAAGTCGTTGACACCTGAATTGAAAGTCATCGGAATAAAGTCATTGGCAGCACAAATCTGTGAATCTTCCACAATGGCCATAATCCTCACCGCATGTGATGACTATACTGTATAGTTTGTATACTTTTCATGTGAAATCCACTTTATTTATTTGCTGTGGGAGATTCCAATGACATCTCATGATCTCTGATCTTTACACCTAGTGGCAGTTCTTCAGTAGATTGTCCAGTCCGGTCTTGCTGATAGTCCCGTACGCCTGAGAGTAACTGCCTAGTTTTGCACGAGGATCCCCGGCTGCGGAAACGTTGGCATTACTCTGGAAAACCTTCTTGCTGAACCTCGGAGGAAGCCTGGCTTCACGTGAATGCGAATTAGACCGCTGGTTCTGCAGAGTGAGATATTAGAATATCATTAAGCATTCTTTGAGACATAGCATGTACGGTGAAGTATTTTAGGGCAAAGCATTAGCATAACAAGAACGCATACACTAGACGTCCTGATGTGTGTCTGGATTGTCAACATGGCACTGCTTTCTGTGCTTGAAATCAGGGCTTGAAATTAACTTTTTCACTCACCGGCCAATTTGGCTACAAAATTTTAGTAGAAGTTACCTCTACTAGCCAAAAGTAAATTTTTTCAGATATTCAACATAAATGGTGAAACTAATATATTATATAGAATCATTACATGCAAAGTGAGATATTTCAAGCCTTTATTTGTCATCATTTCGATTATTATGCTTTAGCCAAATTCAAAATTAGAATATTGTGAAAAGGTTTTCATAAGCTGTAATCCATGGTCATCAAATTTTAACTAATAAAGGCTTGAAATATCTCACACGTCTATTATAATATATTAGTTTCACCTTTTAAGTTTATTTACTGAAATAAATGAACTTTTGCACGATAATATATAATATATTACATATATATATATATATATATATATATATACACAGTATACTGTATATAGACAGTATCTACTGTATATATATATATATATATATATTTTAAAATTTGGATTTCATTCATTTCTTCTTGAAACAAAATCTCTCGCCTTTCATCTGCATACTTTTCACCTAAAAAGTATTTTAGATGGACAGATCCATACAGCACAAAGAAAGAACATAAAAAAATTTGGATGTTGGAAAATAACAATGTCTTTTCTGTTCACCAAATACTTTTTAATCTTCGCTATTACTTCAATGCAAATGAAGAATTAAGTGTTGCGTAGTGACATGTTCAAGTAAGCCAGATATGAGCAGATTCTGCAATATGCTGTATTTAATATATCATGATAAATCACGAGTTGAGTATTTGTGCTATATCTGCACAGATTTGTCTTAAACGAACTTCTCCAGCAAAATTAGTAAATGAATAAACTGAAGAATAAACAGAGTGAATTAACTCGCCAAATTGGCTAGAGATTTGAGTTACACGTCACATTTTTTTTACCTACATTTGGCGGGTTGGCGCATGTTAATTTCAAACGCTTGTAACATACTCAGACTCAACCAATGACTTGTGTTGGCAGGTTTAAAGTTCCCAGATGAGAGTAAACAAGAGTGTTTTTATACAAACTGGAAATATGGTGATTTTTCTCTCCTCACCAAGCGAGCAGAGGTGACGCATAACCCGGGGGACACAGACGGTTCATCCTTGCGAAGCAGGGGATTATTTTGAGGCTGTGCGAGAGTGAGAGAGAAAGAGTGTGTGCGTCCCACAGGGGCCGAACGACCTCGTTGCTCCACATCCTGATGGAGAGAATGAACAGATAAAAACATTTAAATGATGTTACCACCGTATAGCTAACCATTTACCGTCTTTTCATTATATTATGTATTAACAGTGCCCTACTATGCTATTTTACTTTTAGGAGTCTCCTATAACACCTTTACATGCTTCCAAGGTCAAAAACACTTTAAAGGGGTGATGAACTGAGAAATCAAATTTTCCTTGAGCTTTTGACCTCTAAGAGGTCATCATATTATAAGAATATCCTGTAAGTTTCAGAACTGAAAAGCTTTTATTGACACAGCCTCTAAAAACGACTCGTTTTTAAAAGTGGGGAACTATGACGACAAAGAGGATAAAACACCACCCCTGCAGAAGAAGATCAACGCCTGCTTCACCACGGCAGGTTTAGCCCCGCCCACCGATTCGCGCATTACACACATAAGTATCATGTACATGCTTACCTCGTGATGACAAACTGGATCGCTAACCGAGCAATACAGAATATTGTGCAGTGCCTGGTTGTGCAAGACAGTCGCTGCATAAGCTTCCTGTGGATTCCAATAGGACTGCATGGATAACATTTATTTTTAATGACGTTCCAGCTGATGAGGTAAAACATCGTCGTCTGTTCGCTTCATTTCACTGAGGATTGTTTTGTCAGCAAGACTGGATTTGCAGACCGATTAAGAGTAAAGAACGCTGCTGTGCCGTCTATATTGGATCTGACAGGAATATTGTGCAACACACGGACTCTGGGTTGAACATGTATGGGCGAATCCGGTTGCCATTTGACAACATAGGACGTTTTCCCCCACGAGCACCGACGGGTGAGTGAAACTCATTATAATATGCAAAACTGTTCTCCACTCACAGCAGTGGGTGTTTACTTCCAAGTCTTCAGTGCGACACGCCCATAAAAACCGACTGTTTTTTAGGTAGGCTCACAACCAGGGTACAAAATAGCCTATTACTTGTTCATTTTGATGTTTTTGAATGCAAAAACCAAGCGAACGTTATAAGTTGACCTCAGACAACAATATAATAACATTTAAAAAGCCAGTTCATGACCCCTTTAATTTTCTCATAATAATCATTACAGCATCAGTTTCGATCAAGGATTCAGTCTCTCTAAACTCCGCCTCTCTGAGAGCTGCACTGCTCTGATTGGTCAGACCGCCCAGTCTGTTGTGTTTGATCAGAAACCAAACGCTCATTATCATATCTGAACCTCAGCTCTTGATCACAGTGATACGAAGAGTAACGATGGCATGGGTTTCACCGTAACAATCTCATCAAAGTGGATTTGCTTTGTCAGCAGAAAACAGCATCTTCTCGACATGAACCAAACTCTCCAAGTCTCAGATACTCTACAGTGTTTGAGGGCGGGGCTAAGAGACGCTGTTCAGCCAATCAACACCAGAGCCTGCCATTAAGCCAATTTGTAACATTGTTACGTAGATATGTTGCAGAAGTGAGACTGGAATTCCTGACGACTTTTTTCAGGCAGTTCACAATTACTTCTTTCTTTTAGGAGACAAACTTTGCAGACATTTTACATGCACAATCAGCTCTATTACACACTGCATGATAGGTCATATCCTAAAAAGCATAATAGGGGCATTTTAAGTGCTAAACAGCTCTTATCTAAAACGAATATGTGAGAGGCGGTGGGACGCACCACAGACCCGTCCGTTCCATCTGTGTGCGGGACAACACCGGTCTCCTGACTCCTCCTGCCGAACCGATGAGGAGGAGACGGGTACTGGGGTGGCTTCACCGAACCATCTGGAAAATAAATGCATAATGTCTTTTAGGGCTATCCAATGAGTAATATACTACCTTAACAAAGTTTGGGAGTAGGTAAGATATTTTTGAAAGTTTACCTTCTGCTCAAACATAAAAAAAACAATATGTTATTATAATACAAAATAACTTTTTTCTATGTGAATATATTTTAAAATGTAATTTATTCCTGTGATCAAAGCTGAATTTCCACCATCATTACTCCAGTCTTCAGTGTCACATGATCCTTCAGAAATCACTCTAATATGATAATCTGATGCTCAGTAAGCATTTATGATTATGGTAGCACTTCACAATAAGGTTCATTTGTTAACATTATTAAAATATTAACTAACCATGAGCAATATATTTGTTACGGTATTTGTTAATCTTTGGTAATGTTAGTAAATAAAAATGCAGCTGTTCAGTGTTTGTTCATGTTAGTTTCGCTGTGTATTAACTAATGTTAACAAGATTTTAGTAAATGTTAAAATTAACATTAACCCAGATTTATAAATGCTGTATAAGTGCAGTTCATTATTAGTTCACGCTAATTAATGTAGTTAACAAATGGGACCTTATTGTAACCTTATTTTAAAGTGTTAACATGATTATTATCATTGTCAAAAATAGTTTTTTGAGGAAAACGTGACATTTTTTTAGGATTCTTTGTACAGTTCAAAAGAACATCATTTATTTGAAATTGAAATATATAATATCATATAAACATCATGTTCGTGTATATTCTATAACATCATGAAACCATGACCTTCATTGACCGAAGCTACAGTATATGTGTGCTGCACATAATGGTGTGTATAGGGCCGCATTTACATTACATGGTTCAAGTGACCCAATTCTGTTCTGCCAATAATTTTTCTCCCATGATCGGAAATGACCCACAAACATATAAGAAGGAAAAAAATATACTCAGATCAGTTTCTCATTCATATGTGGAAATAAATCTGATATTAATCGGTTACATTCATTTGCATCTGCCATGTAAGTGGACGGATCGAATATTCTCGTCAGCGCGAGTCGTACGTCATTAAAAGGCCTTTATGGGACCAATGTTTTGCTGACCATTAAAGATGGTGCGGAAAGCAAAAGGTTGTTTTATCATTCCACTGTGTCGTTCCTTTTCAACCTAAGCTTTACCAGGTCAGTACGTTTACCTTGGGTTGTTTATTAGATATCAGATATGGGTCACTGTCAGATGGTCTTCAAAAAAATCAGATATAGTCAAGATATCGAAGACCTGAAGTGTAAATGCGGCCTAAGTGTATTCAATGAGTGTGAGTGTAAAACAGCACTCACTAGGCATGTGTGTGATAGGGTTATAGCAGGGTTTTCCTGCACTGGGGCTTAGTGTCGGGCTGGTGCCGTCGTGTATTCGCTCAGGCCGTCTGACAGGTTTGGCAACGGCTGCTCCAGGTCCATTACGGCTCTTCTTATCACTGGGAGATTTCCTTTCAGGATCTCTATCTACACAACCCTTGCCATCTCCATCTCTTCTGTCCACTCCACTGTCCTCATCCACTTCTGCAGTCTTCTCCTCTAATTTCTGCCTGAAATGAGGTTGTTTTTGCATATGCCGACTGGCTCTTTTCTCCAGGATCATCTTTTACAGAAAAAAAAGTCATTTTTAAGCATTTGCTATTATATTATGGAGTCAAGTTTAGTATGGAGTACCACAAAGCTCAGTACTAGGAACGCTCCTTTTCTACCTGTAGGATTTTCTAATATTTAATAATTTTTAAAGGCTGCATTTATTTGATAAAACACAGTAAAATCAGTTATACACTTTACAATGGCTGTTTTCTATGTGAATATATAGTAAAGTGTAATTATATCATGTGATCAAAGCTGATTTTCAGCATCATTAGTCTTCTGTGTCACATGATCCTCCAGAAATCACTCTAATATGATGATTTGATGATCAAGAAACATTATGATTATTCAGTGTTGAAAACTGTACCTATTATATTTTTGTGGAAACATGCTTTTTTCAGTATTCTTTGATAAAGAGAAAGATCAAAAGAACAACATTTGAAATAGAAAACTTTTGTAACATTACAAATGTCACACAAAAAACTGTCACTGTGACACAGCATTTGTTAACATAACACAGAAATCACATGACTGTGTGCACTCACAACATTATGACTGCTCTTGAGGAAAAAGGTCAACATAAATCTGTGAAAACTGAGGAAATGATGAATGGAAAGTTTCCACTCACCTCATAGAGTTTGTTTCTGTACTGAGTAACAGAGAGTTGGATGTCATCGTCCACCGGCAGAATGACATCACAGACCAAACGAGGCTCTCTGGCTGGGTTGTGAAATCTTGCATAGAAAATGGAAAGAAGATCTTTTATTATTCAATCATCTATTTACTAATTCATTTTCTCATTAATACTCCTTTAATAATTATAAAACTCAAACCATGAATCAATATCATGGCCAAAATGAAATACTAATTATACTTCTGTAATGAGATACACTCAGTAAATGTCAATAAATAAATAAGTTTGTATTTTAGGTGGAGTAGTTTTCATATACTGTATATGTGCCATGACATGCACATCAAAAAATGAACCACCACTATTAGAATTAAGAATAACATTAAATGATTAAAAATAAATATAAAAATTGCCCAAAAAACGCCTCAATACTGCAAGTCAGTAATTGGTTAAAATCAACAAATTGTAATTTCTGGTTAACATTAATTAACAGCCATTCAACAATAGCAATCATATTTTGAGTTCATTAATATTATTAAGGAAGTAAACACAGTCAATTTTGATTTCATGTTGCCATACAGTAGAGGTCAAAAGTGAGGTTATATATATGAGGTTATTTGTTTTTAATGACCCTACATGTTTGATTAAACTATCAAAATATTATGCCATTTTATATATATAAAATTATTATTTGGCAAATTACATCTACATTTTTTTTAAATAAAAAAAAATTGAATAGAAAAACAAAAAGCAGACAGGAAAAAGCATGCATTGACAGTTATTAATAATTAATTGGTTCTTTTTTGAAGAGAACCTTAATGTTCATTATTTCTTTGACAGCCTGGACAAAAATTATATCACACAATTTGGCATTTTTCATTGCGTTATTATCATCAAAAATGAAACAATTGACTCCCAGCACAACTACGAAATATGAAACACATTTATAATAACATTTGTTTAAAGGGTGAGGATGCCAATTTTCTGCGGCTGGATATCATTTTCGGCCACTGGAGTACAGTATATTATTTACAATAGGGATGCACCAATATGAAAATTTTGGCCTATACCGATAACCGATAATTCTTCATATTTGGAAGCCGATAACCGATTATTTGAGGATAAATCTAAATCCAAATTTTTATATAATTTTGAAAGCCTGATTACAAAAACAAAAGCCATGTCCAAACACACTATTATAATGTTTTTTTTAGTTGACAGATGTATTTTTTACAGATTTACTGTATTTTCCTTTTTGAAGTGATTCCAGTCGTATTTAAAGCATTTCAAAAGCATCATGTTGAACAGTGTGAATCTAAATAGTCTCAGCTGAAAGAAATAATACATTATTTATAGGCTTTAATATGTCAGCTAAATTTTGTTATCAGGCTGATAACGATAACATTAAAATAGAAACATATATCGGCCGATACCGATATGTTGCCCATATATTGTGCATCCCTGAATTACAAACATTAAATAAGACACTACAGAAAGCATAACATACTTGGACACATAAGGGTGCTGAAGGGCTTCCTCTGCACTGAGTCTCTTGTCTGGATTGAACACCAGCAGACGCTGCACTAAATCAAGGGCGTCAGGTGGAACTGAAGCTGGCAGAACCTCGACTAATGGCACCTGTGGTCTAAACACACATCCAACATGATATGGATCATGATCAAACACGATTATTAATTATTATGTCAGCAGAGTCATCATTCAAGTTCAGCTAAACAACCATTCATAGAGTGAATTATGTGAAACATTAACATAAACATACCTAAGCAGCATTCTCTGAATAACAGAAGGCCCATACTCTGATCTGATGGCCAACACATCTGCAAAAATAAAAAATAAATCGCACATAGGAATATTAGTGAAGGCTTGTGTGCTTTAAGTAACTCTGAACACATTTGTGGCTAGTTGTTTTGGTTGTTGTCTGTAAGAACAAGCCTCATGTGAGACACGAACCCACCCTCTGTTGAAGGATGTGGAATCACGCTCAGGATTTTTTCGATTTGATTAATGGTAGACGTCCCAGGGAAGAGCGGCTTGCCCAGGAGCATCTCTCCCAGAATGCAACCTATACTCCACATGTCCACACCTTTTGTGTACCTGCAGGAAATAAAGGACTCATTATCATAATATTTTATTTATTATGATTAATACATTATAAGAAGTTATGTTATGTTCTTTTACAAAGTGTTCTCTTTTATAGGTTCACTCAACGCTGCGGAAAGCGCAGTGGTATATTCTCTGAATGTGCCGATTGTCTGAAGCTCTATAGAATCACGCTAATTCATTGGCTGATGGCGCTCTCGCAATCTGGCTCCGCCCCGACGCATCCACGTCGCATTCAACGCGCGCGCGCCATCCTCTCCTCAGATTTCTTTGCCTTCACGAGGCGGTGACATCGCCCTTTGCTCTCGATTTTTCTAAGCCTATAAACGGATTAAAAAAACTTTTGTGGATTTTAAAGTCCCCGTGAACCGGAAGTTGCAAACGATTTTTCTCCAGTGCTGTGACATCCGCTCTTTCTCTCCCTCCCTCCCCCGAGCACGCACGTGACATGCCAGTCGAGTTCACTCACGATTATTTATGCACCAGCCCGGGAGCATGCTTTTACCGATGACATTATCTCGCCTAGCGGCTACCGCGGCCTACTCAGAGCTGGTGGACGTACTTTCGCGGACTTGCTGAGAAACTCGCCATCGACTGGCCTGACGAGCCCCGCGAGTCTCAGTCATCGAAGCTCGACGAGAGATTTCTCAGTGGCCCTAATTCTTGGCCACAACGAAGAAAACTGCCATTTTTCAACGATCTGCATCAAGAGATTTCCAGATCCTGGAAGCAGCCTTTCTCTGCGCGTCTCACTAATGCGGCAGCTGCTGATTTCACCAACCTAGTAGGTTCTGTGGAACAGGGCTACTCCGCCATTCCAGCGGTTGAGGATACTGTACTTTGGCCAGCCATCCTTCTCCGTTGTCGGCGCCATCTTGGAAGTCACGTCCCCTCCTTCCCTTTAAAGCATGTAGGACTTCTTCCTCTCTTATTGGAAAATCCTACATGGCGGCTGGAGAGGCAGGCATGATCCTTCACATGATGGCCATTCTTCAGGCCTACCAGGCCGATGTCTTAAAAGATATGGATGAGGGTAGTGGTGTGACTCCTGAAGCTGTGAAAGAGCTTCACAGGCCCATGGATCTTGCCTTGAGTGCCACCAAACATACTACACGCGCGGTAGGCCGCTCTATGGCAGGTGCGGTTGCTGAGGAAAGCCACTTATGGCTTAACCTCACTGAAATCCGCGACAAGGAGAAGGTTTTCCTCCTTGACGCCCCTATCTCCCAGTTGGGGCTGTTTGGCGTTTGGAGAGGCAGTCAACACAGTGGTTGAGAAATTCCGTGCCTCCAAGTCTCAATCGGCTATGTTTAAACAGTTCATGCCCAGGAGGGTTAGGGAATCCTCCGTTCCCTCCCCTGCCCGACCTAGATTCTATGGGGCTTCAGACAATCGGCACATTCAGAGAATATCCCACTGCGCTTTCCGCAGCGTCTTGTTCCCTATTCAGAGAACACAGGTTACGCAAGTAACCAGAGACATTTTCAGGCTCTACTAGAACAGGTGTTCCTGCTTGAATGTTGATTATTTTACTCATATTCTCCATTGTTGCGGATCCTCACATCCCAGTCTGTCAGTAACACTGTTTACTTCCTGTCTCTATGAAGCCCCTCCTTCTGAAAGCACACTGTGCTCTCATTGGTCGGCTGGACCAGTGTGTTGTGATTGGTCGAGCGCTTCGAGTGTGTTTGAGAAATGTCCCGCCCCTTTTACCATAACCACCAGGTTAACACACTACTAACTAACTCAATCGCACCCGCCCCTTTATTCTGCGCATAAATTATTATAATGAGGAATACTGTGACATGTTCGTTCCCAGGAGAAACTCAAGACTACAATGGAGGCGTTTCAGGAGTTCAGAAACACTGACACTGATATAGAGAAGAACTGGAGCTTAGCAGAGCTTTTTCATCCTCGAACAGCAACATTACACACTAAATAAAGATGGAAAAAAGCATTATAGGTCCTCTTTTAAAGGCCACGCACCTATTAGATCCCAGGAGAATTTCGGGAGCTCTGTACCATCGTGTCGCCACATACTCTGTCAAGGCAGGATTCACCGCATCCTCTTGGATCTGGTACAGGGATCTTGCCAAGCCAAAGTCGCACAGCTTCACAAAGCAATCTGAGTCTAGTAAGATGTTGGATGGCTTTAAGAAATAGAAATACAGAAATAACTTAAATCAGATTCTGTCTGAACTAATTTTAAAGCATGAATTAATATTAAAAGTCGAGTACCTTTTGGTCCCTGTGAATGACGTTGCCTGAATGAAGATATTTTGTTGCTTTAAGAAGCTGGTACATTACATAACGCTTATGAATGTCTTTTAATAGACTTCCTTTCTTTATTACTGCATGTAGGTCTGTGTCTGAAAAGAAAAGATTAGTTGGTGTGAATAAAGTATGAACAAAATCACCATTAATGTAATAATTACTAACTCTAAAGGCAAGAGCAATAACTTGGAAATATGAATATTGCCATAAAATATAGCCTTATTATTATTTATTACACAGTGTGAAGTGCAAAGATGCTCTCCTACCCATGAATTCAAACACGAGGTAAATGTCTTTGTCGTTTTGGGCTCTGATGACATTTAGTAATTTAATTATGTTAGGATGATCCCCAAACTCCTGCAAAAGAGAAAAGAGGACGGGGATTTGAAAACATTACACACAAAACTTACGTTTTTACAGTTCTAAAGTGTTTTAACAGTTTTATTCAGCCAAGACAAATTAAATTGATCAAAGGGGACAGTTAACATTTATGTTACAAAATATTTATATTTCAAATAAAAAAAACAACAACTTGCTATTCATCAATGAAAAAAATGCATAACAGTTTCGACAAAAATCTGAACTTTTTATCATTGATAATAATCATAAATGTTTCTTGATCATCAGATCAAAATATTAGAGTGATTTGTGAAGGATCATGTGACACTGAAGACTGGAGTAATGTTGATAAATTCAGCTTTGATCACAGGAATAAATTATACTTTACTATATATTCATATAGAAAACGTGTTTTACATTGTAATAACATTTCACTATTTTTACTGTATTTGTGATCAAATAAATGCAGCTTTGGTGAGCCGAAGAGACTAATTTTAAATTCACTGTAATTAAAATGAATTTGGATTCCTGGGTTTGGACATTTTCTTACCTGAAGGAGCATAATTTCTCTGAATGTTCTCTATGGGAAAACAGCAGAAAGAAATGTGAAATTTAATAATTTTTTAACAATTAATAACAAACTTACAGTACCTCCACTTATTCACACATAGAACAATTCTATAATAGTACTGTATATTATAGTACTGTCACAGTCTTCGTCTGCACTGTTCTGTCTGCGTCTCCTGCACTACATTTCCCAGGATCCTCTTGTCTCCATTCCAGAACTCACTCCCTCATCAGCCACCTGTTCCTCGTCTTGTTCATCTGTTTCACCTGTTTTCACCCCATTAGGCTTGATTCCTCTGTGTATTTAGTTCCCTCTGGTTCACTCTGTCTTGGTCAGTCAATGTTTGATGTTACCCAGTGTTTGCTCCTGTTTCCCTGTATCTTTGCCTGATATTTTGTAAGTAAAATTCATCTTCTTTTGAATCTGGACTCTGTCTTCCCTTCTGCCTGCACCACGCCGTGACAAGTACATGCTATGTGTTTTACTTGTCTCTAACCTGAGCATCTGTTCGATTCCTGAAGGCATCAAAGATTTTCTTCACAGCGACAATCTCTCCTGTTTTCCTGTCCACCGCCTTCCAAACTATTCCATATGCCTGTGAGAAACAGATTTAAAAGTACAGATTAAATTAACAACAATACAAAATTATAGATGAAAAGTACAACTGCAATTTCAGTTTATTTACTGGACTGACAGATGAGAGATTAAGCACAGTTTAGGACACCTGATGGACATTACATATGTAATGTAATTCAAATTCTGTTATTAATTATTCACCCTCATGTTTTTCCAAACCTTTAAGACTCTTGTTCATCTCCGGAACACAAATGACGGTCTTTTTGATGAAATCTGAAAGCTTTCCGTTTCTTTATTGACAGCTACACAACCACTTTGATGCTACAAAAAGTTTATAATGGGATCATAAAACTAATCCATATGAATTGAGCGGTTCTGAAGAGACTTGATCGCTTTATATGATAATCAGATTTAATTAAGGCTTTTATTCGCATATAAACATTGATCAGAGAACATACAGAAGCTGAGAACGATTAACAATGAGAACGAGAATGAGAACAAACCCCTTGGTGAAGCTCAAGAGAGAATAAACCTCATTGGTTCTTGCTGAAGCTCAGACAAGCTGCGTAACATGAGAATGAACCTCATTGGTTCTTGCTGAAACACAAACTTGCCGCGTAACACGAGAATGAACCTCATTGGTTCTCTCTGAAGCTCAAACGTGCTGCGTAACATGATAATGAACCTCATTGGTTCTTGTAGAAGCTCAAACGTGCTGCGTAACACGAGAATGAACCTCATTGGTTCTTGCTGAAGCTCAAACTTGCCGCATAACACGAGAATGAACCTCCTTGGTTATCTTTGAAGCTCAAACGTGCTGTGTAACATGATAATGAACCTCATTGGTTCTTGTAGAAGCTCAAACGTGCTACGTAACATGAGAATGAACCTCATTGGTTCTTGTAGAAGCTCAAACGTGCTGCGTAAAACGAGAATGAACCTCATTGGTTATCTTTGAAGCTCAAACGTGCTGTGTAACATGATAATGAACCTCATTGGTTCTTCTAGAAGCTCAAACGTGCTACGTAACATGAGAATGAACCTCATTGGTTCTTGCTTAAGCTCAAACTTGCCGCGTAACACGAGAATGAACCTCCTTGGTTATCTTTGAAGCTCAAACGTGCTGTGTAACATGATAATGAACCTCATTGGTTCTTCTAGAAGCTCAAACGTGCTACGTAACATGAGAATGAACCTCATTGGTTCTTGCTTAAGCTCAAACTTGCTGCGTAACACGACAATGAACCTCATTGGTTCTTGCTGAAGCTCAAACTTGCTGCATAACACGAGAATGAACCTTATTGGTTCTCTCTGAAGCTCAAACGTGCTGCGTAACATGAGAATGAACCTCATTGGTTCTCGTAGAAGCTCAAACCTGCTGCGTAACATGAGGTTGAGCATTTGAAAGCAAAATGCTTGAGCTTTCAACACAACTGATGTGTGAGTTGATGAATGTTTATATGTGAATAAAAGCCTAAATATAATTTGTTCATCGTATAAAGCGATGGTAGTTGCGTAGCTGTCAATGAAGGGACAGAAAGCTCTCAGATTCCATCTAAAGTGAGTAATACTCTAGAGTGAGTAATTAATGACAGAAATTTCAGAAACTATTCCTTTAACTTCTTGAAAGTATAAACAGAAGAATCAGTCATCTGCTTTAGTAGCTACATCAATTCTTCCAAGCATAAGATCACAACACATTACAGAAACAATGGTCCAATTCTTAAACACAATTAAAAAAAACAGCAGAAAATATCCTCCATAATCTGTCCGCTTATTTATTATATAACTCAGTCTTTATCTTGGCACTTTAAAACCACAGAATATAGAACTTACCCCTTTTCCAAGTCTTCTCTTGATGTCATACTTCAAGCTAATGTGTTGTTCCACCTCAGTGATGTTCATCCCGACTTTTAACGTTACCTGTTTTACCATTTACGATGTCTTGATCATGGCAGGAATAAAATCCTGTCAGTAATGCAGGATTGCCCGAATATATTTAATAAATGAAAACTTTTCCTTGGTGATGTGCCGAATACTACAAAACATCTAAATACGCCTGCTAATCGTAATCACTATTGACAATACAAACATTTAAACGGAGTTACATAAACTCTAAACGCGACCTGTTGAAAATAACAGCAAGTGTTTACGTATGTCTTCACCATTAATATCTGCGGTCGCTTATAGAGAATCGATGGCCTGCTAAAAAAAATAACGTTAAGCATCACTTGGTTTTGTAATTGTTTGTCACCATAGAGACAAAACTATGCAAAGGACGCATTGTCTTAAAGGAGCCGCAGGTTTTCTGATCTTTGAGTTTGACAACACACCGGAAAAAACAGCTATACAGTATAGTTCAAAACATTGACTCTCAAGTCTTTATTTTCATTTTTCTCATGTTTTCTTAGTAAAATAAAATCCTTGGTTGCAGCATCATCTTGTGAGTTGGGATGAGAATCATTGAAAATCATGTTTTTTGTGATTTTATTGTTTCGTGATTGATGTTTTTATATTTTGCATTCTGCATGCATTTATTTTAATGATTGCTTGTCATATGCTCATTGTTTTACTGTACAGCACTTTGGTGCAACTAGGTTTTTAAATGTGCTATAGAAATAAATCAATAAAATAATACAATTTTGACTAGCTTGTATACTGCACAAACATTTCAGAAAGCAAATCATTCGTGTTCATCACATATTTTAAAAGGTCCTCATTAAGTTAAAATTTCAATCGGACAAAGAGCTTCATTATGTTGATTCTTGGGTCTATTTGTTAGTGATGTGTGAAACAATACTGTTTTTTTTTTTCAGGATTCGCTGCCTTAACCAAATTAAATTACACCAAAATCAAGTTATGCCATCTTGATTTTTTTAACGGGAATGAAGACGAGGCTGTGAGGGATGGCCATATCTCTTCAATGGATTGTACTATTATTAAAATTTAAAGGTGTCTTTGGATTGTTCTGCTTAAGAAACACTGCAAAAATGTATTTTCAAGAGATTTCAGTAAACAAAAATAAAAGCTGTGGAAAATGATAGGTGATCAAGAGCTTTAGATCGTCCAAGGCTTCAATATGAGTATTTGTACACATAAACATTGCACACACAACTGGGCAAATTGTTTTTGTAAGTTATGTGGTTTATTTCAAAACTATTTTATTTACAATGGTCATTTAATAATAAATATGACGTATTACATAATGGTAAACTAGACCAACACCATGCTAAGGAAAGAATACACCAAGTCCTTAATCAAGCTCTGTTATAAAAGTCAAGTTTATCAACCAAAAATGTTAGAGTACTGTAAATGAGTGCAATTAAAATCATCTCATTTAAATACTGGAAAAAATATATTTGAACAGAAAGTAAACATGAAGTTGGGGAAACTATTACACATTTAAAATAAAATGCAGTACTGAAAATCAAGTATCCGCATCAAACCTTGCTCTATAATATATTATGAGATCCATAAACTGTCATTTAACACATGTATTAATAGAGGCCAGCATATTTCCCCTTCCTATACTTCTAAGTATTCGCTATTGCCAGCCTAATGATTGGGTCATTCTAGAGAACACTTTCAGATGACCAATTGATCGAAGAAAAAAAGCTTTATATTAAAAAAACAACAACAAAAAAACAACACTACTTAGAAAGGGAACAAATCTGTGAACAATTCAGGTGAAATCGAAAAATGAGAATATCATGCAAGAGTTCATTTATTTCAGTAATTCAACTTAAAAGGTGCAACTAATATATTATATAGACTCATTACATGCAAAGTGAGATATTGTTATAATCATGATGATTATGGCTTAGCTTATGAAAACCCCAAATTCAAAATTAGAATATTGTGAAAAGGTTTTCATATCTGTTAGCCATAATCATCAAAATTATAACAAATAAAGGCTTGAAATATCTCATTTTGCACGTAATGAGTCTATATTAGTGTCACCTTTTAAGTTGAATTACTGAGATAAATGAACCTTTGCACCATATTCTAATTATAACCCTATTTGTATTAGTGACACACAACAGTACTCTAACTGGATTTGAGGTTCCTTCATTGAAATCTAAAGAACCTAATGTTTAAGAGACATAGAACAAACAGGGAAAATGAAACAAAGGTTTGATAAAAAGCTGGTGAGGAGGAGATCAGAGACGGAGGGAGCGTTTAAGACGAGTGCAGGAAACGGTTGAAGGCGTTGTATGCGGACTCCAGGTCGAACAGCATCTGGCGAACCTGAGAGTCATCCAGCTCATCAGACGCAGACATGCTGCTCAGTGTGGTTAACCTGCGAGGAACGAGACAACAGGAGCTCATTTACATACGCAGTGACGTGCGCCAAAATTCAAAGATAAAAATAATAATAAACTATTTTAACAGTTTATTCTTGTGATGTATATATGCAATATGTGTGTTATTCCAATTGTTTAGAGACAAATGTAGCAGTTACACATAATCAAATAAAAAACAAATGGTAATTAGCAGTGCTTTTACGCTCCATTAATTGCAGACGACAAGCGGAAAACCCATGTTGCGCATGCGTGCTTTAACATATACAGCAAAAAGCACAAATCTGCTGTGCCTTTAGACGTAAATATGCTACAAACTAAACATTTTACTTTTGCTGACTGACAAACGTAATTGGCCACTGTGCAACAATTAGGATTAAGGCCATGTTTACACAAAGCCGGGTATTTAGCAAAACGAATATTTTCCCCTTCTCCGTTTTCAAAAATAACATCGTTCACACACCCGCATAAATACGCCGTCGAGCACCATCATAACTATGCCAAACCTATTGGTGGCAGTGTAGGGAGAAGGATAAAGCCATGCAAGCCAATCAGAATCCTCACAATCGACAAGAGAGAACCTAAAACGCCGTTTCTCCCAGTTCACACGACAACACATAACCAGCGTTTTCAGAAATCTCCACTTTGGCCGGAGTTTTTAGAAATAATCTTTTTCTGTGATAAAAACAGGGTTTCCGTGTAAACGAGAGGCCAATCCACAGGGAAATATGTAAACGGGGCATAAGAATGAGTGTAGTTGTGCATGTATGTGTGAGTGTGTGTGTGTGAGAGAGAGAGAGAGACTGAGAGAACATGATATACATCCTGATCTGTACATTTCTTGTTATGCTGCGCTTATGCGTAACGTTTACTGTTATTACGTATTATTAGCCTAAACAATAAATCAGGTAATTTGGCTTTCATAACTCTTTGACATCACCGCACGTCACTGGTTAAATGTCTTTTTCTCTAAAATGAATCTCGGTTTACCAGAGGCTGACTTTGTCTTTGGCCTCCGAATCTGGAGGCATGTTGCTCATCCGGTTCATGGTCTCCATGAGCTCCCTCAGATCAGGCTGGATCTACAACACAATATTCTCTCTCATATAATCAAACTATAAAATCAGGAAAACTTATTTAGCTGACGTGGTCTGTGAAATGACTACCTCATCCATGGCACGAATCTCAAGTCGAAGTTTGTCCATCACTGTGATAAAAAGCTGCATGGAAGAAAACACAAAGGTTAATAAACATGGTATAGAAGCAGTTCTTGACAATTATTGCTAATCAGTGCCAAGTATTTATTTCATGGACCACATAATCTACTGTGACGTTACATTTGGCATTATTTATTAAAGTCTGAGCAAATAAATCTACTTAAGGCAAGACACTACAGATTAAAATGTATTACAAGTTTCATTTAATGTTCAAATACGCAAATGAGGCATTACCTAATTAAATATGCACTAATTTGCATATATTGTTTTGGATAAAGTCAGGTTCAAAATTATTTTTGGATTGTGTTCACATATTAGGTGTGGGGAAAAATCAGCATATACTGTCATAAATATATTTTCGCCATGTTTTTTGTAATACAATGTCATATAAATCAGGCTAGGAATAATATATTTACAAATCCCTCAGTAAATGTGTTCATAACATAACTAGGTACAAGACTGGGAAGTTTGGTGTGTGTATAGTGCTACTGAAGTGGAGATTTCAGACTTTCAGCCAATAAGATTGCGTATTTAGCTGATAAACAGGAAATGACCATATTTGGATCTGACAGCATTGTACAGGAGAGAAAGAGCTTTGTGGGATGACGGTGCAGACAGCGATCATGGAGCAGCGGGATGATTTAGAACAACTTTTGATGAATTTATGAGAAATCTACACATGCAAACAGACAAAGTGTAGTAAAATAAAGACCTAAATGTGTATTTCGGAATTTTTTTTCACCACAAGTCTGAAAGAAGACATGTTATTGAAGAAAATATCCCAAAATATCAACATTGACCAGTGAAAAAACAATGTTTTTGCCTGCCGTGTCTCGCCTTAATGCAGATGCTGGAACAAGAGGAATCCTCTGTGCTCAATGGATGAACACTGGCTTTAACTCAACAAAAGCTATATTGATTCAAGGCTTCATTAAAAGTTCAAAACACATACAGAAACAATGTCTGCAATGCAGCGGTTCAGGTTGCCCTTGTCATCCTTAATGGTGATTGGTCGATCCTCCTTGATCCTCTCCATAGCCAGTGGACAGTCCAGCTGCCAGAGACACAAGAGAAAAAATATTTTAAAAAACAACTTCTTGATATAGAGAGCCTAAGTCCCTCCCCTTCCGGTCGACCACCATGGGACCTTATTTCGGAAAAATATTGAATGGTAGTCAATGGCGAGAGACAACAAATATTTTGATCTAGTTTGAATTGTGCCCTGAATTACAAATATGATGTTTTCAATTTAAAAGATACATTTTAAAGTAAAGAAAGTCGCAGTTTGACGTAAAACCGTTGAGGTATAAGACTGTGAAAATATGTAATTACAAAGACTACAAACCCCAAATGCGCACATTTTCTCTCAATGAATGAAGCTAACTTTACTGAGACTGTCTGTCATTGTTTCTACAGTCTTACGTTATAATCGTATCGTTACGCCGTCCTACCTGAGTGTTTTGTGCCAGACTGCACACACACGAGCAGCAGGATCTCGTTTCGCTTCCAGGGAGATGTAGTTCACAGAGCGATTTTCACATAAAACTAAATGTTACTCTTCTGTTGTATGACAAACTGTGACGTTTTTGACTTTCAGAATTATCTTTTAAATTGACAAACATCATATGTGTAATTGAGGGCACAGTTCAGGTGGCATAAAAAGATAAGTTGTCTCTCACCATTGACTACCATTCATATTTTTTCCGAAATAAGGTCCCATGAGCCGGATTTGGTCAAACCAAATCACCTTTAACATTTCTCACATTATCACAGTTTATTCACTATAGTTAGAAAATAGTAATAAAATGTGAGTTCTCAGATCAGTGGATATTTGAGTGGTTTTGTCCATCCTTCTGTTAGACTCTCACACATGAATTATGTTGAATATCTGTCAGATGATACATTTAAGCAATTAGAAAAATAAACTTCAGCAAAACATGATCAGGTCAAAGTGTCTGGGTCCCAAATTTTATATATATATGTCACTGGAAGTCACTGTATGAAGAATATTTGGTTGTCACAGTTTACTTTATTTTGCTCTCCTACAGTAATGAACTTGTCCTGCACACACTAGTAAACAAATATCAAAAATGATATCTAGTGTGTGAATAACTTTTGGTTGGACTGTATATAGTGGTACTGGACCAATACATCACTAACCAAAGATACAAAAGAGACAAAGATTGTAGAGTTACTCATCAGTAAAATAAGCTTTACCCTATATTTCCGACAAAAGTCATCGATGGAGCCCACATCTGATCCCTGGACTTGTTTGAAAGCAGCCTTGTACTGGACAAGCAATCTTGAGCAAGCTCCTGTATATCTGCAAAAACAAAGAAAATATTAATTATATATGGACAAATAATGTGCCAATAAGGGTGGGGTAACTTTAGCTGAATTTCACAGGCAAATCGAAGAGTTTTAGAATATGATATGGCGTATCCTGGGTTTTTCCATTCTTGGTATTTATCCAGATAACTGGAATCATGGTATTGATAGACGTGTGTATTCTACATGCCAAAAGGCTCATCGCCATTTATTGGAAAAAGACAGAAAGCCCAACTATAACTCTATGGTTAAGAGAAATATCGCCATGCATTGCAATGGTGATGATAACCTATACACTTAAGGGTAAATAATAACATTTAAGAGGGTCTAGAGTCCCTTTTTATTATTTATTGAACGTGGGGATATTAACGATATAATAGAGGAACAACAAAATGCTTGATTAAGTATTATATTCATATGAAAATATATTTTAATGTGCACTTAATTTACCCTTACCATATCTCTGTGGCTATTATTGATTGCAATGTAGTGCTGGGTGGTTTGACCAAAAATTTATATCAAGGTTTTTTCAAAATTATGCCGGTTTGTGACGTTTTTATTTCATGCATAATCAGGTGTTCAAAGCATTTCTACTGGTTGAGAGAGGAAGTACTTTAGTAAATTGTCTATTTTACTGTCATTAGTGAATATTGTAGAATAATTCCACACTAGTAATACAGGTTTGCATGGCCCTAGAAAATTATGCTGTTGTTTACAAATAAGAGCCAATCATGACTCTTATGAAGTGAGGACTCTGCAGTTGCAGTCAAAATACAGAACTTTTACTATTCAAATTTCACAATTTTAATTTTTCTTTATATAAAAATCAATACAAAAAGTAGAATAAACCTCCAAACAACAGACCTGTCTCCTCTTTTTGTTCTTCTTTGTCATGTTCATCTAGTTCTGCAACTAGTAAAGTAATTGTTGTGTTGTATGTTGTGTATATTGTGTAATTAAATACATCGGTATGGCGGTATATTAAATATGAATATCATAATGAACATATTCACCGGTTTTTGGGAAAGAACAGGTATACCGCCTACAAACTATTGCTATGTACTGTTAACTCTAACTTCTAAAGTAAATACCGTATTATCCAATGTTGGTTTGTGCTATTGCACTTTTCATGTAATATCAGCCCCGGTGCTTGTTTGTTTGTTTTTGTACATTATATATGATTGACACATTGTTGTTTAATTGTTCAAGAAAATGTAATAAAAACACCATTTAAAAAGAAGAGGGAAAAAAGGACCATTGTCTCTTGCAAATAGAATAGCGATGTATAAACCAATCAGCTTTCTGTTGAATCTGTGCATAAATATTTTGCATGGATTCCTATTGGAACGTGTTTGTTCCGTGCACTTTGTTGAGCTCAACTGGCTGAGTTTCGTGTCACTATGTGAAGGCTGATCGTGACAAATAAAATAGTATTTGGTAATGTCCCAAATTATTTGTCGTGCGTGTCTTATTACTAAGGTAAAGGACACACACAATATCTACACTCGGGGCAGCATATCAGACCTCTGTCCTTATACATTTAAGAAAATGTTAGGGAAAGGAACATTTCCCTGTATAAGGACAGTTCAATGGAACAAGTTAGACCAGCAAATTAAAGTCAATTTGCATGACATTTTGCACAAACAAAAACTCACTCGTTTGGAGTCACACAGTCCTTAATATAGGCTTTTTCCAGGGCCTGGAGGGTTTTGACCACAGCAAACAACTCTGCCATGTTGTCATACCTTTCAAAACGAAATAAAATCGACGTTAAATGCAACCCGAACACATAACCAGCATCCGACATTGTCTTTACGCTAGTCAGACAAATAAATAAAGCAGCTCAAAATAGACCGAGCTGAACAATATGATGTCAGTTAACTTACTTTTCCCTTTCTCTGGCATTTTTGTACAATTTCACCTCCTGTAACAGACAAATACAGTCATTTAAAGAAACAAAAATGACAGTGAGTGCATTATTACAATAAAAATAGTGCACCATCTAACGTTTTACCTCATACAGTTCTTGCTTGTTGGCAGGTGCTGGTTAAGTTAACGCAGAAAGGGAAAACAGAGATATGAAATCCTGATAATATGTGAAAATATGATAGAATGAGATGCTTAGATTGATTTTTTTTCCTGTCTCACCTCCTCCCATCACTCCAGAAGCAGGTATTCCGTGAAACATGATGAGCTACAAAACAATTAAGAAACAATCAACTTTATGATTTTGTTTTAGCAACGAGCCAGTACTTTTGTATAAGCAAAAATAAGCAGTGATGTCAAAACTGATCTGATCGAAAACACAGGAAATACAATTCAAACTTATAGACAGACAGACAACATGTGACTAAATAGATTTTAGACCTCAAACGAGGTGACGCAAGGTAAATGGTGAATTGAGTTCATTATACAAGAACAGCTGATTTTGTTTTGTTTGTTTCCTGAGCGATGCTAAGTTAGCTCAGGTAACTAGCTGCGATTTAGCTTTCATTCCGCTCTAAGTGTAAACAACACGTTGCGGTCTTTCACTAATTCGCATCTTATATAGGTAGATAGGGTTAATATGATTATGAAATTACGTATAATTTAAATATTAAAAGAGTTTTAACCCAAAAAACACACCAGGAAGATAAAAGTATTCGCTCACCCTTTTATTGACGTCACCACTATTGCAAACTGACGTGACGTCGCTGAATGATATCGTAACATCCTGTTTTAGTTTATTTATTCATTACAACAATATTCGTATGCAAATAATATATTTTATATTTAATCTCAACACGAAAGTGATAGGAATAATTATTTATTAAATTTGACATTCAAAGAAAACTAACGTTTATGCGTATGTTCCAGCATGGTGAGGGTTGCCAAGTCCTTCTAATATTTCCACACTGCTAAATAAACAGTGTTTTATTGACACCGTGACGAAAGACAACTACTTTTTAGAATAAAAACGGCTTTATATAGTATATAAGTAATATATTAGCTTAAATTATCGAAAGACAATCATCTTTATCATTATTACCACCAGTGCTATTAATATAAATTAAATGTATGCGCGAGAATACTTGGCAACCCGAATTCTCTTTGAATCAATACGCGCGCGGGAAGGACTGCTTGCAGTACAGAGAATCTCGAGGAGTTATATATAAAAAGTAACTAAAATACGACGTTCTAAACATTATCAAGAATTGCCTGTTTATTATGAGATTGTAAGCGAATACTATGTTCCACATATAGCCCGCGTCTGCTTATTTCAGTGCGTGAGGGATTGTAAACACAGAATGAAATCCAGCAAGAGCACTAAAGCGAAGCCTGCCAAAGAAGAAGAGTGTGGAATATGGCTCGACACTAAAGAGTTAAAGGAGAAGAAACAACAGGTACAACAGTTAAATATATGCTAAGTATACCAGGTTTAACTTGTTGCAGTTGTATTTGAGGTATATTCGCCTTGTCTCCCCCAGTTGAGGCCGAAATCCAGACTGGTGTTCAGTTCACTGGCTCTGAGTTTCACTCAGACGAAACTCCACATGCCCGTCACGAGACAGAGCGTTATATCATCCTTCTTTACTCACACACACACAGGTGAGACACGTTATACAACTCTAATACACTATTAGTTTAGGTTTGTGTGTGAGTGTGTTGTTTTTTTGTATAAGTGTAAGCATGTGTGTGTGTGTGTGAGAGTGAGAGAGTGTGTGTGTGTGTGTGTGTGTGTGTGTGTGAGAGAGAGAGAGAGAGAGAGTAAGTGTTCAGTTTGTGTGAGTAAGTGTTCAGTTTGTGGAAGTGTAAGGAATGTGTGTTCAGTTTGTGTGTGTGTGTGTGTGTATGTGTGTGTGTGTGTGTGAGAGAGAGAGAGAGAGAGAGAGAGAGAGAGAGAGAGAGTTCAGTTTGTGTGTTCAGTGTGTGTGTGTGTTTGTGAGTGTTCAGTTTGTGTGTTTAGTGTGTGTGTGAGAGAGAGAGAGAGAGAAAGTGAGTGTTCAGTTTGTGTGTGTGGTGTGTGTGTGTTCAGGTTGTGTGAGTAAGTGTTAAGTTTGTGTAAGTGTAAGGATGTGGGTGTGTGTTCAGTTTGTGTGTGTGTGTGTGTGTGTGTGTTGAGTGTTCAGTGTGTGTGTGTGTGTGTGTGTGCATGTGTGAGTGAGTGTTCAGTGTGTGTGTGAGTGAGTGAGTGTTCAGTTTGTATAAGTGTAAGGATCAGTGTGTGTGCTCAGTTTGTGTGGGTGTGTGTTTTCACTTTTTTGTCTGTGTGTGTGTTCGGTTTGTGAGTGTGTATGTGTGTACACCAGGGTTATTATAGTAAACTGAAACTTTTTAGTTAAAAAAAATTGTTGCATGAAGTTAAATAATAATGACTTGTTTTATTTCAGCTAGCTTCTGCTTTCATTTAAAATTCAAAAAATGAAATTTAGTGTAATGAAATTGTGTGTACTAAAACAACTAAAACTAAAAAATGAACAAAAATATATATATACAAATAAAAAACATCTTTAATGTGATGATAAAAAGTTTAAGCTGAATTCTCATCTTCTGACTGGTGTTTCTGTGCTCAGACCCGAACCGAAGTGCGACACACACCGGGAACAAACGCAAACATGACATGACCTCGGACTCAACCCGTCCAACATCTGAGCTGGACCTGCAGAACTGGGACGGAGATTGTGAAGGGTCATCAGACAAGGACCAAAAAGAGCAGCGTTTCTTCCATTTGATTGGCGGAGAAGAGTCGGAGGCCGAGGAACCGCCTAAAAAAAGAAGACATGTTGCCCATTATACACAAGAACATGACCAAAGTTTGTTAAAGACTCAAGAACATCAGAATAAAGAAGAGAATCCAAATAAAAGGGTTCCTGAAACGCAGCCTTTCTTCCATGGAGGTCAGAAAGCCACAGTTAAGGGGCATGTCTTAACCTCTCGACCTGTCAATCAAACCCACGAGAGGCGGAGTGCTAGAGCGTCACCCTTGAAGCGGATGGGGAAGGAGAACGCCCGGCCCTACTCCAGTCCGGCTAAGAAGAGATACACACTCCCGTCCCCTGAGAAGTGTGTGAGCGCAGGGGAAACTGTTGCTTTGCTGTTCACTCAGGACTCAGAGGGCTTGTGCGTGATCGCCCATCGAGACCAGCACTCGCTGAAGGAGCGCACACACACATCTGAGGACAAGAGCGACGGGTGTAGTGTGTGTGCTTCAGTTAAGGAGGAGGATGATGATGATGATGATGATGAGGAGGAGGAGGTGCTGTTCACTCAGGACTCAGAGGGAAACATGGTCATCAAGCATTAAACACGTGTGTGTGTGTGTGTGTGTGTGTGTGTGTGCGCTTCTGTTGAAGAGGAGGTGCTGTTCATTTAGGACTCATTAAACACATGTGTGTGTGTGTGTGCGTGCTTCAGTAAAAGATGAGGAGGAGGTGCTGTTCACTCAGGACTCATTAAACGTGTGTGTGTGTACGCTTCAGTAAAAGGAGGAATCAGATGTTTTTCTCTCAGGAGGACTCAAGCATTAAACACATGAGAATTACCACAAAACAGGAGTTTAAATGCTGGATTTTTTTATATTTAATTTTTTTTTTTATCTTACAACATTGTGGGGGTTTTTTTTAAGGGTAACTCGGGTTTGTGTGAGTTAGAGTGTGTATGTGTGTGTTCAGTATGTGTTAGTAAAGAGAGTGAGTGTGTGTGTGTTCAGTTTGTGTGAGTTAGATTTAAGAGTGTGTGTGTGTGTATGAGTAAAGAGTGTGTGTTCAGTTTGTGAGTTAGTGTGTGTTCGGTTTGCTTGTGTGAGTAACACTTTAGATGACTAGCCAAAATAAAATGAGTAAAACAAATATATTATCAATGTTATTTAGAAGCTCTTGTGTTTTAAGTCATTCAGTGCGAAACACAAACAATGAAATGTCTTGAATGAAATGCTAATAAAGCCCAGATGATGTAGTATTGTGTAATGGCGCCTGTTTGCCAGCAGATGGCGGAGTGTGTTTACGGTGTTGATGAATTATAAACTACAGAATCCCACTATATTTTGAATGGTGTGTCACATTAATAAACATAAGCTTTATCACTGTAAGCTAGTTTATGTTTTATATTTCCAGCATGGAGGAGGTGAATACTTCACATTCTGTTCCCGTTTGCCAAGTTGAAGTTTCCTCAATGTCAGGAATGCTGACACATTCACTTTATTCATGCATTCATAATTAATGCCAAATTTGATGATCTCATTCGAAGGTTATATTTGTTTAAAATTTGTGTAAAAGTCCATTTATACTGTGTGAGGAAAAATATGAAGAAATTAAACAATTGTCTTGTATAGTGTGCTTGTGCTAAACAGCTTCATATTTTTTTTTCACAAAACTTTTATTTTGCCATACTGATAAAAAAAATAGTCCTGTCAATACAATACAATAATCAGAAATTTATCAAAAATCATGATTTCTGATTTCATGAATCTTTAGAAAGGTAATATCAAGTTTGCTGAATGTAAACAAATTATTACTCTAAAAATATTCGTTTTTAAATCGAGTCTTAAAACCTTTTATTTCAGGATTGTTTTTAATTGACTTGTTTTATTTTGTTTATTTTTCTCTATTTTGTGTTTTAATTAATATTGCGCTTTCTTGTGTCGTAGCGCTTTGAGAATGCAGTTTTAAAGGCGCTATACAAAATAATGTTTTTATTATTATTACTAATATCTGCAGAATTTAACATTGACCGCTTTAAAAACACATTTTGTGTCCCGGACCCCATTTTTAAAACATTTACTCCAGAACAACTAAATGTTATAAAAATGTATGTATCCCAGCCAAAAACATACAAATAACAGTGTAACATGTTCATGGTTACTTTATTTGATTCAATCCATGTGAAAATCCTTATAAAGCACAGTGTGATTTAGTATAGAGTTCACGTTCTACTGTGTTTAACATCATTTATAAATGTGCATTTCATGTTTAGACTATTTACTGACCGAGAAAATTTAACATAATTCCCTTTTAAGTACTGAAAAATGCTACATATTAAACATGTTGGCATACATTCAAAGAGTTCAAGACCTTTCTGCTTTCAAAGCATGTAAAGTTACAGGCAAAAATGAGAACAACAAAGAAACAATTTTCCTTTTACTTAACGAGACTTCTACAAAGTGGTGATGTTGTTTTCAGGCTCTACTAGAGCAGGTTTTCCTGCTTGAATGTTGACTATTTCCTCATATTCTTCATCGTTGCGGCTCCTCTCTTCCCAGTCTGTCAGTAACGCTCGGTTTACTTCCTGTCTGTTTTACGCTGTGCTCTGATTGGTCAGCTGGAAAAGTGTTTGGGAAATGTCCCGCCCCTTCCCATAACCGCCAATTTAACACACTACTAACCAACTCAACCAGGCGCCGCCCCTTTATTCTGCGTATGAATTATTATAGTGAGGAATATCTCAAACAGCAACATTACACACTAAAGAAAGATTTAACAGGTCCTCTTTGATGTTATAACGCGGCATTACAGTAATAACTATCCTGACAAACATTTCTGACGTGCAGGAGTCAGTTTCAGATGATGGTCTGAGATTGATCAAATGTTATTTTGAACAATATGAAAATAATATAAAACCTTATAAAAACACCTCCAAAGGCACTCATTCGTTTGCAGAACAACGGCCCGAATCCCACTAGATTTGATTGCAAATTATCCATTTAACACACAGTCTGCGTCCAAAGCCTGAAGATGCACTTCATCTTGCAGAATAAACATGTTTTATGCAGAAGAAAAATTGTTATGAACTGAAACTGGGATCTGTAAACTGTAGGAAATGTCAAATGTGACGGAGCAAAACACAAAGGACTGGTTTCCCTATAAAGATGAGTTGTAGCTAAATATACTTATTTATATATAATATTACAACACGGAACCAAAATGTATTTAAACATGAGAATTATGACATCAACCCAAATATCATTTCAATGACAAAAATAAAATAAAACTTTAATAAATTGCTTTTTCAAAACATAAATGAAAAAAAAAACCCTTTAGTATTATTTTAGTGTCATTTGGATACTATTACAGTTTTTAAAAATATTTTGATTATTTTTGTAATGTTTTATTTTTTTCTGTGTTTAAGTTTTAGTATTTTTTCTGTGTTTTACTTTTTTGTCTGTGCCTATATAGTATTATTATTTATTTCAGTTTTAATTTGAGTTATTTTAGTTGGCCTACATAAAGTTAAACTAAATGAAAATAAGAAATCTATATATATATATATATTTTTTTTTTTCAGCCATGTGTATGTATTTTTTTTTTAAATGTTTTTTAGTTTTGATTTCATACTTTGAGTCATTGCATATTGGTACGATGCAGTGCAATAATTTATAAAAATGTGTAAAAATTATAATCTAATAATACATTTTTAATCTATTTTTTGTAATAATCTATTTTTATTGCAGCTAAATTGAAGGATAAAAATATCTAACACTCATTTAATTAAAGGTTTCATTGGTGTGGGTACTCATATTTATTAATTAATTTGAAATATTTTACCCTAAAACTACAACTCACACGACCACAATGTATGAATTCTTATACGTTTGAGTTCACATAGTGATACAGTGAAAGTGCATGAAGGATTCTGGGTACTAGGAACGAGATGACGAGTTGGGAAAGAATCAGCCAGCGATCTTCGTGGGCTCAGTCACCAGACCGGACCCGTCCCACACCGTCTTAAACTGCTCTGGAACTGGAAACTCCCTCTGTGGAAAACAGGACAAGATATTAGTCAGATAATGCATGAACAAAACCTTCAATAATAACATTATACAGGTGCAACTTGAAAAATTAGAATATTGTGAACATTTTTTCATATCTGTAAGCCATAATCATCACAATTTTAACAATTTAAAAAAAAAAATCTCACTTTGCATGTAATGAGTCTATATAATATATTAGTTTCACCTTTTAAGTTGAATTACTGAAATAAATGAACTTTTGCACCATATTCTAATTTTTAGAGAGTTTTCCCCCCTCGTTTAAATGTATAGCAGGTCAAATCTCCGCAATGAAACATTATGACATTATGCATCATGAAAGTTATTTATTAAAGAGGACCTATTATAATTTTTAAAACTTTCTTGAGTGTTATGTTGCTGTTTGAGCATGATAAAGCTCCAGTTCTTCTCTATATCAGTGTCAGTGTTTCTAAACTCCTGAAACGCCTCCATTGTAGTCTTGAGATTCTCCCGGGAACGAACACGTCACAATATTCCTCATTATAATAATTAATATGCAGATTAAAGGGGCGTGGCCTGGTTGAGTTAGTTAGTAGTGTGTTAAACAGGCAGTTATGGGAAGGGACAGGACATTTCCCAAACACACTCGAAGTGCTCGACCAATCACAACACACTGCTCCAGTCGCCCAATTCAGTGTGCTTTTCAGAAGAAGGGGCTTCATTGAGACAGGAAGATGGAGAATATAAGAAAAATAATCAACATTCAACATTCAAACCTGTTCTAGTAGAGCCTGAATGGGCATGAAGGACGTCTTTACAAGAGTAAGATAAGATATGTCCAGTGTAAATACACTCACATAATCATCTTCTCCCTCAGGGACCAGGATGTTCATCTCTGAGCTCTTGGCACTGACGATCTCACAGTCCAGCGAGTCTCGGCTCAGGTACACGTGGCAGCCCTCGGTCTTGTTAATGGAGATTGTAGGAACTTTTCCTGTCACCTGAGGGACAAAAACACAAGCTATATTATGATTGGTTCATTTGGTGACTAAATATATAAGGTGATGCAATAGAGCAGCTCAGTTTGTAGATCAATTGATTGCATAAAAAAAATACAGTCAAAATTGTGAAATATTATTACAATGTAAATCATCTGTTTTCTATGTGAATATATATTAAAGTGTAATTTATTCCTGTGAATTTTCAGCATCATTATTCCAGTCTTCAGTTTCACATGGTCTTTCAGAAATCACTCTAATATTTTGATGCGAACTCTACCTGCCAAACATATTTCTGTTGTTTTATGTATTGTCTTATTATATGTATTGTCTCACTCATCCATTCACTACCATTATGATGTTTTTTTCTTTTTCTTATTCTTTTTTCTTTTTCTTTTCTTTTTTTTTTTTGAGATGTCTGTAACCTTCCCCCTCCCCATCCCCCCAGAAAACAATAAAAATGTTGATCACAAAAAGAAATCACTCTAATATGAGGATCTGATGCTCAAGAAACATTGGGTAGAAAAACCGTGTTTATTTAAAATAAAAAATCACTGTAACACTATAATGCCTTTACTATCCCTTCCGAAGCATCTTTACCAAACGAAACAAAATATAAAATTATATTTATTAACAATGAATGGTGGTGTGAGTGGTTGATGAATTTGACAGTATTATAATCCTTAGCAACTCATGCTATTAAAGCACTTAAAATAGAAATTTGAGGTATGACGGTGTGATACATTTATGTGAACGCCTCTTTAAAACATACGCATATGCAACTCACAGCTCTATTTAACAAATATTTTTTATGTAAGAAATCTGAAGAATTTTTTTTATGTAAGAAATCTGAAGAATTTTTTATGTTAGAAATCTGAAGATTTTTTTGTTAGAAATCTAAAGAATGTTTTTATGTTAGAAATCTAAAGATTTTTTTTAAGAAATCTTAAGAAAAAAATTTATGTTAAAAATCTGAAGAATTTTTTTGAAATCTAAAGGAATTTTTTTTATGGTAGAAATTCAAAGATTTTTTTTTTTTAAAGAAATCTGAAGAAAATTTTTTGTTAGAAATCTGAAGATTTTTTCTAAGAAATCTGAAGAAATCGTGATAAATTGCTATTAAGCATCTGGTAGATACAAATATACATTAAAAAAGTGACAATATGTGCATGACATATGTGCAAACATCACATCCTGCTGTTTTTCTTTTGTAACATCCATAGAAATAAATGAAGAAAAAAATATAGAACACTCTTAACTCTACCCGTCCCAAATTATCCCACAAAAAAGAAAAAGAAAATCAAAGATGAAAAAGGTTTTCATAAACTGTAAGCCATAATCATCAAAATTATAACAAATAAAGGCTTGAAATATCTCACTTCGCATGAAATGAGTCTATATAATATATTCGTTTCACCTTTTAAGTTGAATTACTGAAATAAATGAACTTTTGCACCATATTTTAATTTTTCGATTGTCACCTGTATATGACGATATCACAGATCACTCACAGATGATCATAACTCATGTACATGTTTCCATCTAACCTGAAGCTGAACGTCTGAGGAGTTGATGATCTCCACGATGCCCACCGCACTGTCGAACACGAGCCCGAGCTTCTTACAGTTATCTGAGGACACACACACACACACACACGTGTTGAAGATGGCGTTATGAATGGAGCAGCTGGTGTATGAGGAGCTCTTCTTACCCACTATGATGGAGTTGACTTTCCCTCTGATCTGCAGTGTGGAGCGGTTACAGCTGAAGACATAGACCACCTGTCTGAGCTCGGTCTCCGCTATCAGCAGGTCATGTGACTGATCCTGGTGCTCCTATTGGCCACACACACACACACACACACAAACACACGCTCCTCGAGTGAGGCTACAGCTAGCGAACACCACAGCATACATTACAAGTGTTTATGGATTGTGATGACTGATTTTTTGTAAATTGAATTCTAAATTAAAAAAGGAATGCGAAAATAATAATAATAATACCATATTCTATACATTTCTACATTTATCCAACCCACTTTTAAGGAGATACGGCTTAATGAATCGCTTGCAGTTTTTAAAATGTGTCCTAAGCCATTGAGAATTATTATTTTATAGAACTTGTTAGGCTCTTCTAAATATCTTTCTATTTAGAAAATGTATAGCAATAATAATCATTGTTATTATCATCATCATTGTGCATTCTAAACATATATTATACTAAAACATAATAATAGCAGTAATAATAACCAAATATGATAATTATTTATAATAACAATAATGATAACCACTTTGCCATCTATAAAAATGTAAATGTAAAAATTATTATTATTATTATCTCAAGATAATAAACTTATTCTTAAAATATAATTTAACAATATAATATAATTAAAATAATAGTAGTATTAATAATGCTAATTATTATTATTATAACAGTAATTATTATTATTATGATTATAGCTTACACAGTGGTTGTTATTTTTATTATTACTATAATAATTATTATAGATTATTATTACAACTACTTTAATTATATGTTATGTTATACTATACTGTATATTTAAAAGAATACATTATAACAATAATAACTCCTATGCTAACTATTATTATTATTATAATGTATTCTTCTTAATATGTAATATAACATAACATATTAATATATAAAAATAGTAGTAATACGTTTTTAATATTATAATTATTATTATTATTAATGTTATAATAATAATGTATTAATGTGCGTTCAAATATAATATAATCTCTTGTTTTGTTTGTAAATTGCTAGTTTGCATTTTCATTTCAAAGATAATGACTAAATGGCTTCGTATAATAATAATAATGCATTGCATTGTGGTATAGATTGCTCTTTGCAAAAGATTGCTCTTTGTTTCAGCCTCTGTGCATGTAGAGTGTGTGTATCAGTGTGAGGTCGAGGAGCACACACACACCACCCTCCACTTTTTCCCCTCCAGCTCCAGCACCGGGGTGTGTCTCTGAGTCTGACTCCGGGCCGGACACTCCTGCTGAACCCGAATTCCCGCACAGCGCAGGCTAGCGTTCTTATGCGTCTTCTGCTCGTCAGACACATGCTTCAAACCTGGAGGAAGAACACACACACACACCACCTGACGTGACGTTTGCTGGCCGCGGGACAGTGTTTCTGCAGACTGGTGGAGGTGTCCTGCCCACCTTTAGTGATGTCCTGGCCCTGGTTGAGCTGTGCGAACAGAGCCAAGTGTTGAGCTGCGGCGTCACTGGGTTTATTATCCGTGAACACTGGAGGAAGAGGAGGAGGAGGAGGAGGAGGAGGAGGAGGAGGACCATCAGACGGAGCACTGAACTGTGAGGAAGGGGCTACAGGACCCTGTTGAGAACATGAGAGTTAGTCCCCTACAGTGTTGTGCAAGTTACTTCCAAACTGTAATACATTAGGTATTACTTGTTACTGTTATTTAAAAGTAATTCATTACCTTACAATATTACTGTCCCAGAATTGTAATGCGTTACATTACTCATGTATTACTTTTGAGTTACTTTCACCAAAATAACTAAGTAGAACTTAACTTTTGGGCTGTAACGAAATGCAATATGAAACCGAAATCGCGATTCGCCACACGACTCAGATCCACGAACCTACAGAATCGCGACACACCTCTTCCAACTCCAGCGTTATTCTCCTTACCGTCCAGATCCAATGCTGCCTTATCTTTAAATTAGGCTATTAGTATTATTTGAAGTTAACATTATAAAATATGTAGACACTACAAAACTAATTGAGGATAAATTATTTAAAATTGGGGAAGTCCAGCATTATGGACATGACATTTGCAGTCAAAACTTGAAATAAAAATTCTCAGAAAATACATGTATTGAAACGTATATAGGCTACTTCCTTAAAGGACTCCAGACATTAGACAAATATCAGTCTATGTTTTATTTTTAATATTAGGAAAAAAGACACACATTCATGCGTGACAAAAAAATAGGAGGCAAAAAATAATTTTATTTTAGTTTTCGTGTTCGCATTTATGAGGAAAAAACAATGTTACAGACGCGACCGCTCTGAACTGGCACTAAAAGACTGCTTTAAAACTTTCACATAGTCTGTTGCCTTTAAGAAGTAAAAGCAGACATTACACTGTAATACAAGCCTCACTGAACATGTAACGAGTAAAATATTACTGAAAATTGATTAGTAATGCCTTACACTACTGCGTTACAGCAAAAAGTAATATGTTACTGTAATGTATTACTTTTGTAATGCGTTACTCCCAACACTGGTCCCCTACGTATATATGAAGAGTTCAGATGCAAAAGCCTCTAAATGCCATTTGAAATTTTCTTCTTTAATGATGATTTTTATCAAACTTGTATATTTAAGTTCAGTAATTTCACTTAAATAACAATTAATAGGTGATTATCATTGCCATTTAAGTGAAATTACTGAACTTAAATATACAAGTTTTATAAAAATCATCATTAAAGAAGAAAATTTCAAATGGCATTTAGAGGCTTTTGCATCTGAACTCTTCATATATATACAGTATATATGCTTTATTATTAAACTGTTTAACAACATGGCTGAATATCTTATGAAGGTACAGCAATTAAACTGTAACAGTGTGTTGATAAGTTCATTGCAATGACCATTTTACACCAGAAGGGGGAGTATGAGCCAACGGATTGAGTTTGTAGTGTTGCTGACCAGAATGAATGGTTATAGTTATATATATATATATATATAAAGAGTTCAGATGCAAAAGCCTCTAAGTGCCAAATTTTGTTCTAAAATGACCATTTTTATCAAGCTTCTGTATTTAAGTTCAGTAATTTCACTTAAATGACAATTACAGTTTTTCTCAGTCGCTTTGGTGCATTTCTCACATCAGTATTTACATTTGCACAACAGTTACTTCAACCTCCACAACATTTTGTCATTTGTGCACATCATAGTTGCAGTTTCTCATTCCTTCCAACAAATTGCAAATGCTTTTGGACATGCATCAATTTCTTTCATACAACTCTCTGCTGTTTTATAGCATTATCATTTGCTTATGTAATATCAGTCCAAATTAACTATACTTGTGAATGTTGAATAGTCATTCCATATAAAACTAATAGTCCTCATTTTATTGCTTGAGTCATCACATACAAAAATGTTGAACTAGTGGATCAAAATTCGTCAAGCTAATTTTTTTTATCTTTAAAAAACCCGTTTTTATCCTAAATTGAACAATTTCTCACAGGTGAACCTCAGCTTTCACTGATGAGAAGAGATGTGCATGAATGATTTACAGTATATGTATGTTGTACGTTCAGTTCCAATATGTACTGTGATATTGTTTACAGTTGTGCACTGATCTACCCAAAGGGAGTTTACAGTATGTTTGTTGTAAATAAGGGTGTATTTTTTTCTTTTGCACAATGTTGTGAACAAATTAGAATTGCAAAGAGCATGCAGTAAAAATGTGAAACATACATATTCAGTGTCTTGTACTCAGTTACTATACCTCACTAAATACAGTAATGTGAAACTTTACTGTAGCTTTCAAATGGCTGTGCAAATAGTTTTTAGGACTGACTTGAGCATTTTCAGGTAGTGTCACCAAGATCTGACTTTTTTTACATTGGCAAACACTTACAGAGCAAACTGTCATAATGAAAACATGACAAAGCCATTTGACAATCTTGTTCATAAACACTGGTGTTAGGACTTTTCATCTTGACGACACTGACACTTTCAATGACATGAATACTTGCTTTTGATGAATGAGTTATCCATTTTGAGCAAGTGACACACTTTTGCAGGTTATCAACTAAGTTTTGCAGTTTGTACTAAATGTTTTGAGAACTGCATTAACTGTTGTGCAAATGTAAATAGTGATGTGAGAAATGCACCAAAGCGACGGAGAAAGACTGTAATAGGTAATCTTCATTGCCATTTAAGTGAAATTACTGAACTTAAATATACAAGCTTTATAAAAATGATAATTTTAGAAGAAAATTTCAAATGGCACTTAGAGGCTTTTCCATCTGAACTCTTCATAGATAGATAGATAGATAGATAGATAGATAGATAGATAGATAGATAGATAGATAGATAGATAGATAGATAGATAGATAGATAGATAGATAGATAGATAGATAGATAGATAGATAGATAGATAGATAGATAGATAGATAGATAGATAGATAGATAGATAGATAGATAGATAGATAGATAGATAGATAGATAGATAGATAGATAGATAGATAGATAGATAGATAGATAGATAGATAGATAGATAGATAGATAGATAGATAGATAGATAGATAGATAGATAGATAGATAGATAGATAGATAGATAGATAGATAATAGATAGATAGATAGATAGATAGATAGATAGATAGATAGATAGATAGATAGATAGATAGATAGATAGATAGATAGATAGATAGATAGATAGATAGATGGATAGATGGATAGATGGATAGATGGATAGATGGATAGACTAACCTGACACACACACACACACAACAATGTTGTGTCATACAGTAATAAAAATTTTTTTTTGCATTTCTCAGAAACATTTTTGCAGTCCTCATTAACTTTTTTTTAAATAATAATAACAATTATATATACTGTCTGTGTATATATATATTTGTACATTTATATACATTTTACTCCATAAACATGTAATATTGGTAAACTTGTCAATGTTTTAATGCGTTCAAACGCATGAAAGTTATTTGGTATACAAATTTTAATTAGTATTACAAAAATGTATTAGTACATAAATGTGTATGAACATCTCGACTAAATTGTATAATTATAAATGAGTATGGAATATGCAAAAGAAGAAACAAAAAATAATGAATAAGCAGGTGTGTCCAAACCGCTGAATGCTACTTTCTCTATGAATATAATAAACGTATCACATTTAAAATATTAAACATCACAATAAATATCAGTCAAAATATGCTGTAAAATGTCTCTCGCTAAATGAATCCAGTTGAGTGTTTCCATGACGGTCCTGATTTTCATATCAGTCCATGTGTTTCTGACACAGCTGGGATAATCTCATTTAACAGAAAAGCACAATTAGCACGGGTCGTTTGTCTGTGGTGTGACGCTACGCTACACACACTTACGCCTGTTTTACATCGTCAGCACAGCTGCCAGTGACAGATGCACACGTTTAAGCTCTTAAACAACTGTTGCACACTCATCTTTTCCTGTCTTGTGCAAACACACACACTTATAATCCCAATACTTGTGCTGATGTTCGGCATAGGTTAGGCAGCTCGACCTCTGACCCCTAAAGGTCAATGGCCTTGTGATGAGGTTGAAAGGCAAAGGTACTTAAACAAACTGTTAGAGGAAGTGGGCAATACAGTGATGCCGGAGTTTGATGTGTGAGGGTTTTTACTGAAGTCAAAAAAGAGGCATAATGTGGAATACATGAGAAGAGAGTTTGAATTACGAGGAGTGTGTGTGAGAGCAGGTGTGTAAGCCAGACACACACTAGGCTTTTGTTGGGGGCATTTCTATGGTAAACCCCCCATGCAAAAAGACCCAGATGACCACCTGTCCACAGCACACAGTCCTTCACACACACACAGAGCAGGAGAGACAGCTGACACACACACACCGTCAGTGACGGCTCTCAGGTTTCTGTCTGACACACACACACTATTTCAGACAAGGTTTGATTAATGTTTCTTAAATATGATTATTAGAGTATGGTTATACCGATATATCATGCATCCCAATTTAACATACAGCTGAAACTCGAAAAATTAGGATATAGTTTATTTATTTCAGTAATTCAACTTAAAAGGTGAAACTAATATATTATATAGACTCATTTCAAGCCTTAGCTTATTTCAGCTTATGAAAACCCCAAATTCAAAATTAGAATATTCTGAAAAGGTTTTCATAAGCTGTAATCCATAATCATCAAAATTATACCAAATAAAGGCTTGGAATATCTCACTTTGCATGTAATGAGTATATATAATACATTAGTTTCACCTTTTAAGTTGATTTACTGAAATAAACTTCTGCACGATATTCTAATTTTTCGAGTTTCACCTGTATATCGGTTAATATGGGTTGGTCCTTCCAGAACACAGAGACGTTGCGGTCTCACTCACGGTCTTGCTCCACACGAGGCCAGTGGTGTGATGCTCCTTGATGTAGGACTGCAGTTCAGTCCAGATGCTCAGATAGGAGCGCACCCACTCGATATGACGGCCGTCACTGGGGTCAGCAAGAAACATTCAATCAATAAATCAGTTTTCGATATCAAAACAAATATTTGAGAGGAAAATTTACTATGTGTGCTCCTTGAAGAACCACCTTGAAATGGTGATTTCTCTTTAACATTAGGGATGCACCGATATGAGCATTTTTGATACCGATAACTCTTTATATTTGAAAACCGATAACCGATATATTGGCCGATAAATCTAAATCCGAATAATGTTTTGAGAGCCTGATTAAAAAAAAACAAGTCTTACTATTAAAATCCATGTCCCACACAAAATTATAATGTTCTCACTATCATTTTATGTAGTCGATATGACGATATTTTGATACCGATATATCGGTATTTTCCTTTTTGAAGTGATTCCAATCATATTTCAGCAAATTTAAAACCACCATGTTGAACAAAGCGTCTCAGCTGAAGGAAATAATACATTATTTATCAGCTTTAATATATCGGACAAATTTTCTTATAGGGTAGATAACGATAATATTAAAAAATTAACATATCAACCGATACCGATCAATCATGGTGGCTGATATATCGTGCATCACTAATTGAACATATCAACCTGAACTAAACATATACAAAAACAATCCACTAACGTGTCTTTGTAATCTTTCAGGACTCTGTTGGTGTAGAACATTGCGGCGTCGTTCATCTCCTTCACGTACGGCCCTGGTTTCTGACCCTGAGCGAGAAAACAAAGGGTCAAAAGATGGTCAAATGAGCTTATGCACTCATAAAAAGTAAATAATAAGCACAGAAAAAACAGATCGGCTTCATGTAAAGCACTAATCCTGCGGCTCTGAACCTCTGGTGTAAACAGATGCAGCAGTTTAAAGCAGAAAATGATGGAGTCCAGATCTGTCTCAGTCCAAATGCACATTGCAGAGATTAGATACGCCATCCAAGACATCAGAAGAGTTTACATAATCAAAAATCAGTTTGGTGGTCCTCTCAGAGATGGGTTGTGTGAGGTCACAATCAAAGAAAATATGCCTAATGTGATATTGTTTGAAGTTTATTTGATGGGCTTTTATCACTAGTAGCAAGCCATGCCTGGATCTGAATGTGCAGAGACTCAACTAGGTCAAACTAGGTATTTTCTAGATCAGTTATAAAAGCTTGCATGGCATTAGACTGCGGCCACAGGAGAAACTTGAAAAATTTGAATATTGTGCAAAAGTTAATTTATTTCAGTAATTGAAAGTGAAACTAATATATTATGTAGACTCATTACATGCAAAGTGAGATATTTGAAGTCTTTATTTGTTATAATTTTGATGATTATGGCTTACAGCTTATGAAAACTCATCACAATATTCTAATTTTGAATTTGTGGTTTCATAAGATATGCCATTATCATCAAAATTATATCTAATAAAGGCTTGAAATATCTTACTTTGCATGTAATGAGTCTATATAGTATATTAGTTTCACTTTTTATGTTGAATTACTGAAATAAATTAACTTTTCCACGATATTCAAATTTTTCGAGTTTCACCCGTATATGGTTGCATTGAGACATTTTTTTTTCTATCGGTGTGAAAAAAACGTTACAAACCACAAATACGTCTCTCTGTGATTTACACTAGTTTAAATCCAGATAAAACAGCACTGACACTCTCAAAAGCACTGGCGTGGAAAACGGGAGAAACATTGATCCACAAAGATCCAGTTTGAAGGCTTTTCAATTTACAAATCCCCAACATTAAACATGGATTTACTGTAGTGACACTAACTGTAACTGGTATTATGGCAGAAATGTGGTATATTCATATCCCATTTTACTATATTATTAATGTTGACGTATTAACTGCATTAAAGGAGTAAAATAATATAATTAGAGTATTTTTTGTTGTTGTTATTAAGCCAAGCATTTTTTGTGCATTTGTATGTTTATGCTTCTGTTTTTCATAATAAATACCACAGAATCCACAAGGTTACAGTGATGAGGTGCCGCGCATGGTTTTACTTGAAGTTATGATAAACAAATGCATGATATTATAGAAGACCAATGATTCAATTAAGTCAATTATAACATAAAAAGTCGAAACTACGACAAAACGTTACTCCGTCGATATACGTATATATAAGACAACACAACCTATCATAAACATGAAAGCAGATTAATTATCAAACTTAAGAAACCACCTAGCTTTATTGGTTAACATTACATTAAACTGTCAGGTGGTTGGTTTTGACATTGGCTGTCATGAAGCCATTATAACTTTTTAATGACAAATTCAATTAGTACCACAAAAAATATTCATGACAAAGTTATAATGCCTCATGACAGCCAATGTCAAATCCAACCATTTGACACTTTAACTTAACTTAATTTAATGTCAAGTTGTCATGACAAAGACACTGACAGGTTATGATGTTATGGTTTATGTCAAGATGTCATAACAAATGTCATATTAGCATTCAAAATGTCATTATTGAGCGAAAGACACTTAATGTTGTCATAAACATGCATAAACCCTACTTCATATTCATAACATATGTCATGTCATGGTTATGAAGGTGTCATGTCAGTCTTATGCACACCCCTTCAAGTAAAGTGTCACCCATTATGAACATCCATCGGTGGGACCAGATCAGGATGTAGCACTTGTTGCATGTGATATACAGTATGAATATGTTTACATGCAGTGAGTGAGTGAGTGTCCACAGGGAGAGGGTCTCACCACAGCCACCCAGCCCAGTGCGGGGATGCTCTCGCTCACGGCTGAGAGGTGGTTGAACAGGTCACTGCCACGGTTCTTCTCCCGGAAGCTCTGGACCTCGTGGATCTGGTCGGAGAGAGGTCGGAGGAGGTCGGCCAGCTCGGTCTGATGGGGAACAACCATCAATCAAAGGTTAAGATTAATTTGTGGAACATCAAGAAAGGATTATAATATTCTAAATTAAGATTACTTTAACTTTGAAAAAACTTAGTTTTTTTTAAGTTTACAAATTTCTTCACCACCCCTTATGAAAATTATCCATGATTTTTTGATCGATTACTGTTTGTATTTCTATAGTTTTCCAACAAATGTGATTAAATGGTGGATAAAATCATATCTATGAGAAAATTACAACAACAAAAAAAACATACCACTCTAAAAAACCTTTGAAATCAGTGTGTAAAATCCATTAAACATTAGCTGCGTTTCCATTACCCTTCAATTTGCGCAAATTGAAATTGCGAAATGAAAATACGTGCAATAGAAACACGTCAATTTCGCAAAAACTCCCGTTTATCGCAAAAAAGTTTTTACGCTCGCATGAGGAGGTTTTTCAGGCAATTCAATTTTTCCGCAAAACTGAAATGGAAACAGATTTTGCGCATTTACAGTCACCTGACTTAGAAGACCGCAAATAATAATAATAATTATCATCATTAGCCTATTATGGTGTTCAACTTTGCGTTTTAAAAATACAACAACCGTTCATTTTTCGTTTTGCAACGACCGTTTGGACATAATACGAAATAGAGTTCTTTATTAAATTCATTTAAAAAAAAAGAAACAATAATTACAGGAATAGCCTCTCTAAACCTCAAAGAAATGCCATCAAGACATCGAAGCAGAAATAAGGGAGAAACACCAGGAACTCCGTGTCTTTCCCTGCCATTAATGCTTGGATAACACACCACGTCTCCTTCCATTAAAGGGGGGGGGGGGGTTGGGGGGTTGACTGCTTTTTTTCTTTGCGTGATTGTATTTATGGGGTGCAATATAACATGTATTCATGGTTTTTCTTTTTTTAAAAGTCTTATTTTTCATAAAGTTCCCTTTTATTGTCAGCCACGCTCTTCTCTGTCCTCGAACGAGCGGTTGACTTCCTGATTCTATGAAAACACTCCCTCAGAAACACGTAGAGGGCTCAGATTGGTTAGCTTGGTCCGGTGTGTTGTGATTGGCTAGTTGTGTTGTGTTGTAACTGTCGCTTACGTTCTCCAGAAAGTTGACGCCCATTACCTTTACGGGCACGTCATGAGCTCCGGTCCAGATGTAAATATGCGTCGAACTGCAGTATCAGTATGACCCAGAATCAGACAGAGAAAGCCGCGATGAAGAGAGTCAAACAGAACCACACCACACTCGGCTCTTAATAAACGTTTCTGAATGATAATTTGCTACATTTTTTAACTTTATACACGTTTGTTTAACACAATAGCATCTGACTGGCAACAATAGCAACTGACTGGCTACTAATGTTAAACACAAACAGCGTTGGCAAGTTTACGTTCTTGATCAAATCGAAAATAACGTCATAAAACATATATACATGAAAAATACATTTACAACATTAGCACTTATACAAAATTCATGTTTGTACGCGTTTGTCGTAGACACAAAATAGCATAACTAATAGCCTAGTGGCAATAAAGCCAGCGCTGGCATTTGAAAAAAAACTAAAAGGCTACGTCTGGAATTATACATGCAAATACATTTAAATTGGTTAAGTCTTAACCTACTTGCAGGTTGTGGCCCAACAACTGCTGCCTCTGGTTTTAAAGCTGGAACTGCTTCATGTTTTAGTAACAGTTTCTTGTTGAATCCGGTGTTGAACTCGTGGAGATTCTGGAAGCTGTCTTCCATAAAATGCGCAGCACAGAGAGCTAGATTACGATCGTCATTTCCAGGAACATAATCAAACATAAATTGTATTCATTGTTGACGAAGTACAGCGTCCGTGGGAAGTTTGAAGACATAAGACCTGACAGCTGCGTGAACAACACACTCGACGAGCTGTTGGAGCTGCTGAAATATGCACATGCCCTTTTCTGCATATTCCGGAGGGAGTGGTTGATGCAAATGTGTGGGTTAGTGACGTCTAAAACCCGGCTGTAGTCCCATCAAGTCGTTTTTGTAGGCAATTATACTTTCTGATTTTTAAAAGACGATATCTCTGCTTACATTGAACTTTCAGCGCTGCAACTTCGCAGATACTTTTCATGCATCAACAGCAACATTACACACTATTTAAAATGAAAAAAGTGAAATCGCAGTCAACCCCCCCTTTAATAATAATAATGTCTAGCGCGGTGCATGGCTGTGAAATAGGTTATAAACCTACCAAAGTCCGTTGCCATGATTTTTGGAATGACTTATCGCGAGAGGAAAAAAAAGACGTTTTAGTCGCATAACATTGGTTAATGGAAACACTGTCATTTCGCAATAGTTTTTTTTCGACATTTGGAAAACATCGCAAAAGTTTTGCGCAAATCTGTAATGTAAACGCGCCTACTGTCAGGGTCTGAATCGGCTCGAAATGGTTTGAAATTGACGCTATGGTTAATATTGCATCTGAGTAAAGCTTGCCATTAAGTGGCGGGACATTTCCCGAAAACACGCTGAGACCTGTCAATCACAACACACTGGGCCAGCTAACCAATCACAGCACATTTCATATTTCAGAAGAAGGGGCTTCATCCAAAAAATATGCGTTTAACCAGACTGTGCAGAGAGGAGCTGTAATACTGTAAAATGAACAATCAAGCATGAAAACATTGTGCACAATTCAGAATTGAATTTAGAATTGAATAGAGGACAACCATCAATCAATTGTGGAACATCAAACCAGGGTTATAAAATTCTAAATCTGAAACAAAAATATAATAACAAGTTACTTGAAATAAAAGTTTTTAAAGCTTTTTTGGGTTAAAAATGATCCAAAATAATTTTTTGAACAAATACATAATCAGCCAGTGTTTAACACTTTGTGGTACTAGTGGATTTCAGCGGGAGATTCGAGCATGTCTTTACGTCACATCTGTACACACGCACACACATCTGCACACACGAAGAAGAGTCTCGGCTAGTAGGCTCACTTGTAAAAGAGATTGTAATCTCAATGTGATTTTATTCCCCGGTAAAATAACAACAAAATTCCACAGTACTTACACTGTCACCTTAAAATAAAGTGTAAACAATCAAATTTGTTAAATGCAAACTTGCTAAAGAGAATCAAGTGAGCATTAAGGACAGATGAACTACACAACACTGACCCCTGAGAGCAAAGCCGGATTCACCCGAGCGCACTTTTATTAGCAGGACCGTTTTTTCCAATGAAAAGTCCAGCGAGCTTCGCCTCCTCCCACTCGGCATTCCTGCCGTGATGATGGGATCCCCTCGCCTTGTAAGGCCGGGTCCCACACCGATGTTTACAGTTTACCTCTCCGCACGGAGGAGAGGGAACACACTGTTTCCTTTGTTAAATTAACGTTTTTGTATTTGTGCTTGTGTTCCAGCAGTTGCCATGTCCACCCGTTCAGCCTGTTTCATAAGAACTCGTGGGAGAAGTCTCTGGACTAAAAATACCTCTTCTTGTTTTTAGTCAGCTCAAGCTGAAATTACATTCATGTGCAATTCAGTAGCAAGAAACAACGGTTGACATGACTTCAACCTCGGTGATGACTGAGAGACATGTGTATACTGGCACATTCATCTATATTTACAGTGACTCAGCATTGAGTCTGTGGTGTCAAACGGTAAAGCCTGTGCGACAAAGTGATTAAGACTGAAAGAGAGAGACAAACCCGATTTACATAAATTCCTCTCATAACAACATGCGCATGATTTAGATTTCTGTGCACAAAGGAGCGTCTTTCATCCATTCTCTGACATTACGGCCCTTGTTAGGACACTGTCCGAGAGAGAGTAGCTTACAGCATCGCTGTGAACTTCTCTTCCCATCCTGCTCGGCCACAGAGAGTGACAGAAATAGCCTATCTCTAAACTATGAATGGAGCCGGACCCGAGTTAAGAGCTTTCTCGGCAGATCATCAATCGCACCGCGAGAAAGAGAGATTGCATTCAAAGTGTGCACTTAGCCTGAATTATTTATGTATTTTAATTATAAATATTTTTATTATCATTACGACCACATAATATAAAATTGTAATTTATTTTAAATAAATAATTGTCATTTATATCAAATAAAATATTTTTAATGTATTTATTTAAAATAAAGCGCTATATAAAATTTAACATATTATTTTTATAATCATTTCTATATATTGTATGAGACATTGTAAGAAGTCTGGAAGATATCATTATTTAAGTGATAAAATAACCAAGAATTAAGATATGGAGAAAGTCCATCAATCAAATCAAATAATTGTAATTTTATAAAATAAAGAGTGTAATTTAATGAAATATAATGATACATTATATAAAACTATTTTATATAATATAATATTAAACTATATTTGGATACATATTAGTTGTATGAATTCTGCTAAGTATAATTTACATAAAGGTGCAAAATTACCTATATATATATATATATATATATATATATACACACACACACATACATTCATATACACACACAAACCTTTATTTAAAAAATTTATATTTAAAAATTGCTATTTAATTTCAATAAAAGTTATTAAATTATTAAAATAAAATAATTATATTTTTTTTAAATAGAAAAGAATATTTAAATAGAAAAGAATAATTCTAATTTAAAAGAAAATAAATATCTATTTTATAAATAATTGGACACATTATATACTCTGGAAGGTATAAGCCACGTAATAGGTTCAAAATGATCAACAATTAGGATATGTATAAATATCCTCTGGACAGACAATATTATGTCGAGAACAAACATCTCGGTCATGAAGTCACAGAGCGACTCAATTACATGAGGAATCATGGAGAAACAGCTGCGGTCCACAGGCCACACAACACTCCTCATCCAGTGACAGGCCCGTCACATGACCCGGGACACACACACACACACCGGCTCAAATATAGAACATGCCCATAAAAAGCCACAGAATGCAAGCTCAGTCCTGCACACACACACACATGCAGCGGGAGAGAAAAGCCAGAGGTTTAGGGCAACTGTCCAGCATCCCTCCTGGGAGCTTCACACACTTCACACCACTGATGGAGAGGAACAACGGCTAAACATAGTGTGTGTGAGTGAGAGAGAATGTTTGTAGGCTTTTTTATATATGCATTGAAAAATTGTATTTCAGAATTATTGAAACCCAGAAGTGACCAAAATCTCCTTTGACGTCCTCATTTGTAAAACATTTGTGTGTGTGTTGGTCAGGTTAGTGTGTGTGTTTGTGTGTGTGTGTGCAATGGGTAGAGTTAGTGTAATAGGAGAGAATATTTAGTTTGTACAGTATAAAAACCATTACGTCTATGAAATGTCCCCATTTAGATGTGCATGTTTAGATGAATGTGTGTGTGTGTGTGTGTGTGTACTACAGAGATAGTTAGTCTTTTCTTAGCATATTCAGGTTGAGTGTTTTTCCATTCAGATTTGTGGGAAACCATTTAAAGAACCCCCCACCCCCAACACACACACACACACACACACACACACACACACACACTGCATCTGGCTTTATCTGTCATTATTGAACAATTAGATTGTTGCTGCTAGGTTGTTATAAGCATATTATGTAAATAAGAGTTTGTATAAACAAGAAACATTGTAACATTGCATTTTTTCGACTTGATGAATATAATAACGAGCAAATATAATTAAATAAAATGATAAATTTACTAGATATTTATCAGCATCAAATGAGAAACACCTAATCAGATCAGCTTCTACAATCTTAATTTAAATTTGAAAATAATTTTTCCAAAATAAATGACTAATTAAGCTTTTAGTGGCATTACAAAAAAAAAAAATGAAACCATATATTAGTAATGAAAAAGGAATGCAAAAAAATATATTACAACCAAAACTTCTTCCAAAAATCCTTACCATGCAACCTAATACAGGAAGCAAATATAGCTCAAAATGAAATCAAATTGCATGTGTCATAATATCTAATATTGGTTCGATTTTTAGTGCCACTTTTAGTGAACGTTACTGTATGTAAAAATATAAGTCAAAGTCTGACTGAAAAGAAATATCAAACCTTTCCTCAACAAGTCACATGATTTTAGGTATCATTAATATTCATTTTTATTTGTTTATTTTTGTATTTTAGTGTATAGTTTTCTCTGTTGTTATGTTTGCCTGTAAAGCGCTTTGAGAAAGCAACTTTTAAAAGGTGATAAATGATAAATGTATTATTATTGCTATTAATGTCAATGATGCAAGACAACCCTCTTATCTCATTGGTTAAAGCGAAAGTTCACCCCCCACAAAAATTAATTTGCTTTAGCTGGACAATAACTTTATTCTAGATCTGCTGTAAAGCCAAAAAAATCTCTGTTACTGTAATCGCCTATTATCACTGTAAAGCTATGTCCATATGTATTAATGAAGGTGACTTGACTTTAAAGGGATAGTTCACTTTTAAATTATTTTTTGATATGTTTTAGCTTACCTCAAGGGCATCCAAGATGTAGGTGTCTTTGTTTCCAGAGTATTTTATATTTTTATGTCAAACCGTTCTTGTATGTCAGTCATATAATGGAGGTCTATGGTCACCACCTCAAAGAGCATGCACAGAGAAGCCCAAATTAAACATGATTTAATGACTCGTAAATGTAAGTACACATTGATGGCCTAAGACACGAAACGAGCGGTTTGTACGAGGTATTTATATCGTTTTTACCTCTTAAAACCACAGCCATGTCCAAGTGATCTGAAGGCACGGGCACTTCTGTCTGCGCAAGAGACTTTTGTCTTTTGCAAAAGTTCATTTATTTCACTAAATCAACTTATGAGGTGAAATTTACATATTATATAGACTAATTACATGCAAAGTGAGATATTTCAAGTCTTTATTTGTTATAATTTTGATGATTATGGCTTATCTTATGAATACCCCAAATTAAAAATTAGAATATTCTGAAAGGTTTCCAAAGCTGTAAACCCTAATCATTAAAATTATAACTAATGAAGGCTTGAAATATCTCACTTTGCATGTAATGAGTCTATATAATATATTAGTTTCACCTTTTAAGTTGAATTACTGAAATAAATAAACTTTTGCATGATATTTTAATTTTTCGAGTTTCACCTGTACACTATTTGCACCGCCATTTGAAAACTACAATAAAGTTACACATTAATGTATTTAGTGAGGTAACTGAGTCCAATAGCCTGAGATCTTCTCTGTGTTTTGGGAAAACGTGAGCCGAAGTCTGATGGCATGACATCACGAGGCCCCTGCTCGTCCCCCGGACCTGTAAGTGTGTGTGTGTGTGTGTGTGTTTGTGTGTGTGAATGAACGGGAATGTGTCGCATTGGCACTTTCTAAACCAGGAGAGGTAATCCCTATGTGAACAGAACCCGATGTGGCATGGATGACCGCATCGCTCGCAAGAGAACAGAGGAACAGAGGAAGAGTTCGGGAACGTAGATGAGAAGCACTGCATTTATAATCACCCTTAAAGCGATTCACGCAAAAATGAAAATCCTGTCATTACAGGTGAAACTCAAAAAATTTGAAATATGGTGAATATTTTAATTCAACTTAAAAGGTGAAACTAATATATTATATAGACTCATTACATGCAAAGTGAGATATTTCAAGCCTGTATTAGTTATAATTTTGATGATTATGGATTACAGCTGTGAAAATGTTTTCACAATAATCGAATTTTGAATTTGGCGTTTTCATAAGCTAAAGCATAATCAACAAAATTATAACAAATAACTATTTAAACAAATCTCACTTTGCATGTAATGAGTCTATATAATATATTAGTTTCACCTTTTAAGTTGATTTACTGAAATAGCCTAAATGAACTTTTGCACCATATTCTAATTTGAGTTTCACCTGTACATTCAGTTTCACCTGTACATTCAGGAGCTGCAACAATGTCAACTATGGGGGGAAATAATGTGCTTTTTGAACATGCAAGCATGAAAAAAAATATCAAGTAACAGGGCATGAGCTCTGTTGAGACTGCACAGACAGAGTACCACGAGTCCTTTCCTGAAGAGACACTTTCAGGCAAGCTAAACATTGGTATAATAGTGCTTAAATTATGACAAACTCTAAGTGTGAGATATGCTAACAGCACTTCATGGCAAAGAGATTACATCAAGACCAGAAAACTGAAATTTCACATAGGTTTACAGCCAGTTTAAAGGTACAGGTGAAACTCGACAAATTAGAATATGGTGCAAAAGTTTATTTATTTCAGTAATTCAACTTAAAATGTGAAACTAATATATTATATAGACTCATTACATGCAAAGTGAGATATTTCAAGCCTTTATTTGTTATAATTTTGATTGAAAACCTTTTCAAAATATTCAAATTTTGAATTTGGGGGTTTCATAAGATAAGCCATAATCATGACAATTATAACAAATAAAGGCTTGAAATATCTCACTTTGTGTCTATATAATATACAAGTTGAATCTTTTAACTTTTGCACCATATTCTATTTTGTCGAGTGTCACCTGTAGATGCCGTCACGCAGACGTTGGTTTGCTCGTACCTTCACTGGCTCTCGGTGTGTCATGGACATTTGGAGGAAGGAGCGCTGGATCTGCAGGGCGTTGTTCACCATCTCTGCCTGATGGATGGAGAAACAAGCAAATAAATGCTATATATGTACACTGTAAATAATGACAAGATCAATAAGTTATGAAAACATATGTTTTTACCTTGTTTACCTTTACCATATCATTAAAATAAATTAAGCAATTTTCAACTTTTTTTAGAAGTTCTACAAGATTCAACTTTTTTATGCCAGTTTAATGTAATTTAAGTTGACATCATATATTATAATCAATATTATTATAAAATATTATTATTATTATAAAAATACCGAAGCATGCAAAATTTTTCATATCTTGCATAATTTCACAAAATTACACCAAAAATTCAGTTTGATCAGAAAAAAATACATAACACAATACAGTTTGCATAGAAAAGCTCACAATAAAAATAATATGTTCAAAACATAAATTTACCTTGATTTTCTTTGATAAATATTTTAAAGGGATACTCCACTTTTTTTGGAAATAGGCTCATTTTACAACTCCCCCAGTGTTAAACATTTGAGTTTTACCGTTTTCGAAACAATTCAGAGGATTTTCTGATATTTAGAAGAATATCAGTAACCAGACAGTTTCTGGTCTCAATGGCTTCCATAGTAGGAAAAAAAAATACTATGGAAGTCAATGAGACCAGAAACTGTCTGGTTACTGATATTCTTCTAAATATCAGAAAATCCTCTGAATTGTTTCGTCAATGGTAAAACTCAAATGTTTAACTCTGGAGGAGTTGTAAAGTGAGCCTATTTCCCAAAAAAGTGGAGTATCCCTTTAACATTATTATTGATAACATTATTGTGTGAAAATGTTAACTCTATATTTTCATATTATCATAGAATTTAAAATCAAATCATATTTCTATGATAATAAGTTTAATGTTTTGTTATGTAAATCCATTATGTGGTATTTGAGAAGAAGCAAGCAAAAAAAGTGAAGTTAGAACCCTCATATAGATTTTCAGAAGTTTTAATGTGACCTTCATATAACAAAACAAAGTTATATAAAAATCCTCCCATCAGGGACATAAAGTTCCCGAAGCTGAAGCTGAAGAAACACCTAAATGAGGCGAAGCCTACCGGGACAGACCTGAACCACACACACACACGCACACTAGCCCAACCAGAACACACACACACTCAGACCCGATCAACACACACACACTAACCCAACCAGAACACACACACACACACACACTAGCCCAACCAGAACACACACACACACACACACACACACTAACTCAACCAACACACACACATTAACCCAACCAGAACACACACACACACACACACACACACACACACACACACACACACACTAAGACCCGATCAACACACACACACACACTAACCCAACCAGAACACACACACACACTAACCCAACCAACACACAAACACACTAACCCGACCAACACACCAGCACTCTAACCCAACCAGACCACACACACACACACAAACTCAAACCCGATCAACACACACACACTAACCCGACCAACACACACGCACACTAACCCGACCAGAACACACACACACTAACCCGACCAACACACACCCAAACTTGATCAACACACACACACACACACACACACACACTAACCCGACCAACACACACACACCAACAAACTAACCCGACCAACACACACACTCAAACCCGATCAACACACACACTAACCCAACCAACAAACAAACACACTAACCCAACCAGACACACACACATACACACACTAACCTGACCAACACACACGCACACTAACCCAACCAGAACACACACACACTAACCCGACCAACACACACCCAAACTTGATCAACACACACACACTAACCCGACCAACACACACACACACCAACAAAGTAACCCGACCAACACACACACTCAAACCGATCAACACACACACACCCAACCAACAAACAAACACACTAACCCAACCAGAACACACATACACACACACTAACCTGACCAACACACACACATACACACAAACAAACACACTAACCCGACACACACACACACACACACACACACACACACACACACACTGAAGAGAATCCCCCATTCAGGAGAAGCGTCGAGGTTTTCCTTAAAAGGAGAGGCATATCACAGCTAAACCTGTGTGTGTCTCCGCACTGATGGGGAACTGAGATCGGGAGCGCTTCCTTTCGAGGGAACAGCTCTTCATGGGGATTATCATGTGTGATTCCCACACTTCAGGGTCAAACGGTCAGCTAGTCTGCACGACTCCGGCCTTAACCAGGCCGATCGCCCGAACTATCTCTTTCTAGAGCTCTAAATATATCTGATGAGGATCATAAGTGAACTGGAACACAATAACTGTGCAGTCACAGTTCACTGGAGATCATGTGTGTAACCAGATTAATTTACTATTTGGTATTTAATGTATAGTATACACACACACTCTCTCTCTCTCTCTCTCTCTCTCTCACACACACACACACACACACACACACTAACACATTAACACTCACTCACACACACACATTCACCTTCAGACACACACATACCCACTCTCTCTCGCTCTCTCTCTCTCTCTCTGACACACACACACACACAGCCATTTCTCATCTGTTATTAGACTAAAAGGGAAATGTTTCCTCTCAGAGTGGAGCTTGAGGAGAATTCCAGTGTTAACAAAGAGGACACACACATCCCTCTCCCACTGTCGTCCCGCTCTCTCCCGTCCCGCTCCCTCTTCTCATAATATTACATTCCATCACTAGAATGAGCCACTGTGCCTCAATGTACACTAACAACATTGTCCAGCGCCTCGTTCTCGGACAGACCTTCAGTGGCCAATCTGTAGCGAATGTCCTGTCAGTCAAACACACACCCTCACATCTCAGATGGGGCTCACAAGCCCTCAACACAACACAACACACACCTTCACATCTCAGCTGGGGTTCACAAGCCCTCAACACAACACAACACAACACAACACAACACACACCTTCACATCTCAGCTGGGGTTCACAAGCCCTCAACACAACACAACACACACCCTCACATCTCAGCTGGTGTTCTCAAGCCCTCAACACAACACACCGTAACACACCACAACACAACACACACCCTCACATCTCAGCTGGGGTTCACAAGCCCTCAACACAACACAACACAACACAACACAACACACACCTTCACATCTCAGCTGGGGTTCACAAGCCCTCAACACAACACAACACAACACACCACAACACAACACACACCCTCACATCTTAGCTGGGGTTCACAAGCCCTCAACACAACACAACACAACACACCACAACACAACACACACCCTCACATCTCAGCTGGGGTTCACAAGCCCTCAACACAACACAACACAACACAACACAACACAACACACACCTTCACATCTCAGCTGGGGTTCACAAGCCCTCAACACAACACAACACACACCCTCACATCTCAGCTGGGGTTCACAAGCCCTCAACACAACACAACACAACACACCACAACACAACACACACCCTCACATCTCAGCTGGTGTTCTCAAGCCCTCAACACAACACACCATAACACACCACAACACAACACACACCCTCACATCTCAGCTGGGGTTCACAAGCCCTCAACACAACACAACACACCACAACACAACACACACCCTCACATCTCGGCATTAAACTTCCTGATTTTTAAAAGACGATATCTCTGCTTACATTGAACTTTCAGCGCTGCAACTTTGCAGATACTGTTCATACGCCAACAGCAACATTACACACTATTTAAAATGAAAAAAGTGAAATCACAATCAGCTTTTAAACTTTGAAAGGTAGAATATATTTTGGAAACTTTTTAGACTTTTGACAAGGTGATGAAATATTTTAAATTCAGAACCAATATATATATATATATATATATATTTGTCTTACATCTGCTATTTGACAAAAAGACTAATATAATAACTGCTGCCAATTATATAATAAAAAAATCTTTTGATGGAATCAATCCGACCAGTTTTCTCTGAAGACAAAGGACCTTGCTTTCAAATTAACATGTGAACAACTCACACACACAAACACACTCTTGCAGAGATCAGAGGACACAGGAATATATGTTTTTAATGTGAAAGTGATAATCTTTAAGGATTGTTTAGTATCATTTTGAAGGTCTCAGGGTGACTGGTAATAATGTCTCATTTCCAAAGAAGTAAAAGAAAAGGTAATAAGGTTTTTTAAGAATAGTTAACAGCTTCTGGCCTTTTGTCTGAATGCAATTTACAACTAAGCAAATGGTTACCTACTAGTAAATTTCCACTGGAACTTGCATATGAAATGAGGTCTTGCTATCCACAAGTTTCCTACGCCCCATGAGGCCTTGCGTCAAAAGTGGGCGCGACTTCCGGTTGGAAGTAAACAAAGCACGATTTGACATGCTTGACACTCGTTCATTCAACAGTTGACAGTCATTCAAGTTATAGCGATCCAAACTGGCTAACGATGTGGGAACACAACCTCAACGAAATTAAAAAAGGTGAAATAACAGTACCTTTACCCTCCACAGTAGTTGATTGGGAGTATTATAATAACATTATTAATAATCAATACTCATCAAGGCATGGTGACAGACAGTTGTGCGAGCTGACAAACAATTAAAATAAAAAATACACACTTAATCATTGTGCTTTGGAGTTTATTCAAAATTATAAATGAATGTGCTACTTGAATACATTAACTGGCACATTTGGAATTCTGTCAACACAGGCTTTGATCCTGAGTTTAGGCGCAACATCAGTAGAGAACAGCCAAACACATGCTGATAAAAGTTTATAGAATATTAAGAATTTAAACAAATGTACACAGGAAGATTCGTCGTCTTTTGGGAGGTGATGGAAACTACAGTCGTTGGCAGGAACACTCTGATTTCGTTTTCAGCTTATGTTCAAAACAATCACGTTTAAGCCACTGAACTAGTTTAGTCAGGTTATACATACAACCGCGAACAGCACATGTTGTCCATGAGCTCAGTAACGACATCTCTCATAAAGATTGGCGTCTTTAAATAGTAAAATAATTCTCCGAAAAACAGCTAGCCTCTTCGCTAACTAACACACAAAATACCATTGGAACGCTACTTCCGCCGCCTCACCGGAAGTTTCACCCACTTTATTTTTTACAGGAGCGCCCCTCGGAAACTTGTGGATATAAGGGAAATGCAACGGAGAATTCGAGGCTGGATTGTCTGTATTCAGATCAGCCCATGATGCTGTATCTTCAAGGCTCAGCATTCATGTAGTTAATATGTTGGCCGGGTAAAGTTCTTTGTTCTAGAACTTTTGATGGTTTTGCAATGATTATCTTTAAATTGATTGCGGAATTGTAATAATACATTTACCTGACATAGTAAATTGTTATTTTTGATCATTCTAACATACTTTGACTTTATTTTCATTAGAGTTAAAAGGAATAGTTGGACATTAACGTGTATTTAATGATGGACAGATATCATTGATAAACCCTTTTCATTTTACAGAGTCAGATGAAACAAGTTAATACATAAGATTAAATGTGTTGCATTTAATTAAAAATCACTTTGCCATGGGAAAGACAGAACACGCGTGAAACCTTCACCACGAATCAAATTCCACCATTGGATCGATTTTGTGGCGCTTCACACAATGAAACTGATAATATTTACGAACCAAATTGTGCCAAATAATTTTGTCTGATAAATTGTGTATTTTCTTTTAATATTTGAAAAAAATATATAAAATATTTTTTTCATATTTTGATGGTTTAATTCGAATCGGTAGGTTCATTAAAATTAAAAATTAAAAAAGCTGTTCACTTTTTCCATTCTTCAAACACCCACTTTCATAATAACACATTTTCCATTTGTTATGATGCAAATGGATTTAACGAGGCTTCAGGGACACAGAAAAACACAACGCCAATTGTCAAATATGGCAGAGTTATGTGAACCTGCGACGCAACAGCCGTGCGCGTCACGAACAGCTGGACCAGGAGTGTGTGCAGACATTTGGTGCCATAAACTAAGAGCTCTTCTTCGGTCACTGCTTCTATCGGCCTATACTTTAAAGCAGAAGACAGCTGGATAGCAGTTCCATATATATTTTTTTTATATATGGAACTACTATTCTACTGTCTTGGCCAGGAATTTAATTTTTAAAATAGATTTTTAATCTCATATATATGTTTATATATATATATACTATATATATATATATATATATATATATATATATATGAAGAGTTCAGATGCAAAAGCCTCTAAGTGCCATTCTTCTAGAATGATCATTTTTATCAAGCTTGTATATTTAAGTTCAGTGATTTCACTTAAATGGCAATGATAATTACCTATTAATTGTTATTTAAGTGAAATTACTGAACTTAAATATACAAGTTTGACAAAAATCATCATTAAAGAAGAAAATTTCAAATGGCATTTAGAGGCTTTTGCATCTGAACTCTTCATATATATATATATAATGTTTTGAAACATAGAAAATATATTTTGGTCCAAATATAACAAAATCTCTGGCTTTTTTCAGCATTGTATTGTCTTCCGGTTCTGTTGTGGATCCACGTTCAGTGCCGCTGCTGACGTAAGATGCTGCTGAAGTGTGTCTGGTGCGGCTGAGCTTTGGTTACAGTCTGAGGGAGACGTACACTGTACAAAACAATCTTCACAAACATGTTTAAAGGGTTAGTTCACCCAAAAATGAAAATTAAGTCATTAATTACTCACCCCCATGCTGTACCAACCCCGTAAGACCTTCGTTCATCTTCGGAACACAAATGAAGATATTTTTGATTAAATAAAGATTCCTTAGAATTCCACGACGCATGCGCGAGAACTGAACTGAAGTAGTTGAAGGAGATCGCAATTCTCGCGCATGCGTTGTGGAAATCGTATTGAAGTCTCGTTTCAGGCCAACAAGGAAGAAAAGGAATAGTCGAATAAAGTCGTTATTTTGTTTGTTTTTTCGCACAAAAAGTATTCTCGTCGCTTGATAAACTTATACTTGAGCCGCTGTAGTCACATGGAATATTTAAACATTTTCTTCATTGACTTTCTGGGCCGTCAAGAGGCAGTCCCTTAGGCAGTCTATGTGGTAGTTATACAGCTCTCAAATTTAATCAAAAATATCTTCATTTGTGTTCCGAAGACGAACGAAGGTCTTACGGGGTTGGTACAGCATGGGGGTGAGTAATTAATGACTTAATTTTCATTTTTGGGTGAACTAACCCTTTAAGGATTTCCACACAGAGGAACACTTGCATATTTATTTGAACCCGAATACACGGATGCATCAGACACACGTCAGCAGTGTCACTGAAAAATAAAAAAGGTAATTGCGACTTTTCATCTCACTTTTGCGAGATATAGTCATAATTGCGTGAAATAAAGTCACAATTGCGTGTTATAAAGTCATAATTGCGAAATATAAAGTCGAAATTGCATGTTGTAAAGTCAGAATTGCAACTTTATTTCTCCCAATTGCGACTTTCTTCTGTTTATACGGTATCATCTGTTTATATAAAAATGACACGTTGCTTGTACGATCTGCACTGACACAGATATTCACGAGCGGCCGCTAACACTCACATGCTTCGCCACGTCTCCACCAATAGCTCTGCTGGTCTTCACATATTCACACACGGAACCGCTCAGCAAAAGGTCGAACGCCTCCATGCTCTGGGATTCACCTTCGATCAAAGAGAGAACAACAAAACAGGAATCAATGTGACAGAATAAACATTACTGAGGATGCGTTAAAATCTCATTCACTGTTGGAGACGTTAGAGTTTGAAAAAACACTGTTTGGCGTCAGTAAGAATAATTTTATTCAAGGATGCATGAAAGTGACTCTAAAGACATTAGTAATGTTACAAAACATGCTGTTATTGAACAAAAAATGCATCAAAACTGTTTTCAACATCAATAATAATCCTAAATGTTTCTTGAGCATCAAATCATCATATTAGAGTGATTTCTGAAGGATCATGTGACATTGAAGAGTGGAGTAATGATGATAAATTCAGCTTTAATTAAAGGAATAAATTACACTTTACTATATATTCACATAGAAAATGGTTATTTTACATTGTAATAATATTTCATAATTTTTCTGTTTTTGCTGAAAAACACACACATACACACACACACACTCACAGCCACACACACTCACTCACACAGCCACACACACACTCACTCATATTATATCATATATCTCAGACTATGCCGAGGCTTATGCCACTGTACTCCGTTGAGAATATTTTTCCCATGAAGGAAAACCCCCTAAAGTCAGAGTTGTTCTCTTTAAGATTATCAGCAGATCACAGACAATGCCCTGTAGACTCATCAAAGCAGACCAGACATGCTTACAACTATTAATATAAATTTAGAACTGCTATCAAGATCCTGCTGTACTTGTGGTACCTCCGTTGATCATGTGACTACTGCTGATGATGTCATCATTGGCCACGCCCCCTGGCCCGAACTGTAGTTTACCAGCCATGTATTTACCAGACATGCTTACAACTATTAATCTATAAAATAATTCTGCACTGCTGTGCTTGTAGTACCTCCGTTGATCATGTGACATGTGATGTCACCGTTGGCCATGCCCCCTGGACCAAACTGTAGTTTACCAGCCACTGCCTCCAGACGAACCACTGCCTTCTCCAGACGCTCGACCAGCGCTTCCATAACAGCGTTCCTGCAGAAACACAGTCAAGATGCGGAGAAATGATATATCAAGATATGAGGCTATTAAAATGAAAACGTCTCAAATCTCTCACTGCAATTTCTAATTTCGCGGCTTGAATTTTCCCAACTCTTTTTGCGATATATTATATGCAAAACTAACTTGTGCATTTGCAACTCAGTGGTGGCGAGAGACTTTCACCTTCATTTCAAACTCTCCAAAATGTCCAGGTTTGTTTGTTCTGTGATAGAAAGCGTCCTGACTTTCTCTCTCAATAGTTGTGTGGTTTGGCAGCTCCATAACTTAGTAATTCACTTTAAAAAAAAACTTTTGCTGATAATTTACTCACCTCCATGTCATCCAAGATGGTTCAAACGGTTCAAGGTCCAAATGAGAGTTTCAGTGCAGCTTCAAAGGGCTTTAAACGACACCAGACGATGAATAAGGGTCGGTCATTTCAAAAATAAATAAAAAAAGTTTAAGTTTTATAAGCACAAATGCTCACCTTCTGTGTGACTCTCCTGTTCGAACTCGTTCATCAAAATGAACAAATCTTTTTTGGAGTCATTTGGTTGATTCAATGAACAAAATGAATCGAAAAAAGATTCGTTCATTTTGATGAATGAGTTCGAACAGGAGAGTCACGAACCCGCATCACAGAACAGAGCAAGGCAACCGTTTGTGCTTTTAAAGCTTAAACCTTTTTATTTATTTATTAAATGAGCGATCGTTTCACTAGATAAGACCCTTATTCATCGCCTGGTGTCGTTTAAAGCCCTTTGAAGCTGCACTGAAACTCTCATTTCGACCTTGAACCGTTTGGACCCCACTGAAGTCCGTTATGAGGAGAAAAATCCTGGAGTGTTTTCATCAAAAACCTTCATTTCTTTTCGACTGACGAAAGAAAGACGTGGACATCTTGGATGACATGGGGGTGAGTAAATTATCAGCAAAAGATTTTTTTTAAAAGTGAACTACTCCTTTAATAACTAATATTCTTTGCAACAGAAGTGAATCAATCAAAGCTAACTTTATCTGGACAATAACTTTATTCTAGAGCTGCTGTAAAGCCAAACAATCTCTGTTCCTTTAATTTCCTATTATCACTGTAAAGCTGCTGTGAAACAGTCCATATGCACTGTATACATGTAGGTTGTGATCTCTCTACCATTGACGACATTTATGCCTCACGTTTGCAGAGAAATCAATTCTTGGAGAACCCACACACCTGGCATTTATCTCCTCTGCCTTCAATTATATTAATTAAAACTCAAATTAAAGTCTGCATGTTTCTTGAACAGCACTTATTGTTCAAGCTCTTAACTCTTAATGCATTAGTATTTCATTAGTTATATACTGTATGTATCTATGTATATATAGAAGAAAAAATCCAGACAACTTGTTTGTTATGGCAATAAATAAATAAATAAACCAGCGTTACGGCCTGTGAAAGCGCTTTGATTTGTTGGGACTTCGTGACCGGAGTACCAGTCAGTTCAATAAAACACTCCCCGCTCCCTGCAACGGTCAAACGGCAGCATGTATCCCACAGAAACATAACAACAATAATTATGAGGGAACATTTATAAACTTTCTTGGAGGTCTCGTGCACAAATGTTGCAAGAATGAGACTGGAGTCGGCAATGTGAATAACATTACTGTATTACTTGTCACCATGAAATCAAATCAATATTGCAGTAGCCTATTTATTCTTAATGATATATCCATGATGCACATCATTATTTTTATAAATTCATAATCTTGAATCAGAATAACTTCCCCTTCCTCTTCTCTGATAATGAGGGCGGAGCAACCTGTCACTCACATGTGATCAGCCAATAGCAAACTACAACCATCCAATCTATTCCCCACAGACACAATCAAGCCCCCTTACATTTGTTCTTGTTCCAAAAGCGCTTTACTCGGATATACGTCACAATCGAGAAGAAAAAACTAGTCCAACTTAATACATAGTACTTAAATAGTCATTGTTATCAAAAGGGGGTTTTGCTCCGGGTAGTTATATAGGAACTATCCTTTAGTATTAATATTACATTAGTATTAATATAAAATAAGACTTTAAGATACTATTTCAGGAAATCAGGCTCACACACACACACACACTGTATGAAGGCGTGGTGGGTTCACTGGCAGCTTTCCACATGACCACACCTCAATGCTCATCTGCAAACAGAAACACCAGTCGATCCCTTACGACAGCGTCAAGAGGAGGCCAAGTGAGCAGTCCACCAAAGTATTTCATTACAAAACATCACCACCATATTACATATTTTTGTTAGTCATTCTGGAACATGTTATGACATTTTTCTTCTTTACGAAATCCTTAATCCATCTTAATTTTAATTTCTGATCTTTAAAGTACTTAAAAATGTTCAATTATATATATAATTTAACATAAATATATTTTAATGAACAAGAACACAAGAAAATGTGTGACAAAACTGATCAGACAAAATTATTTGGCACAATTTGGTTTGAAAAAATTCTCAGTTTCACTGCATTATCACACATAAAACGAATCGTCTCCAAGCACAACTATGCAATATGTCCCGAACATGGTTTCCACCGCTGAATAAAAAATGAAAAGGTAATTGATAAATAAAAATTCTCAAAATTCCAAGTTTATGTCTTCCAGTTAGGAGGAAAAATAATCAGAAAGATAATATTAAGATAATATCTGCGTTATTGGTTTTACGGACTAAACTTAAAATTTACAGTAATAAAACGTATTTCATTATCAGATATAATGTTAATTTACCATCCTATTGAAGTATTAATAACTGTTTCATACCATTATAATACACTGACAACCACCAATCACAGCAGTGATGCAAGTCACATGATCAATCAAATCAAAGCTCATTACACACATTAAACACCATCATGGTAACACATGTGAAATTTCAAAAAAGCAATAAATTTTAATTTAACAACATTAAATGTAACATAAAACCCTAATGTAAAAAACTGATTAGAAAAAAAACTAAGAAAACTATGAACTAACAGTTAATTCAACAAAAAAAACATAAAATGCGAAGTGCCATGCAGGGAATTGTGGGAATTTCAATTTACGTTTTTTCACTGTAAATTGTACAATGAGTTGTTATTTTTCACTTTCAAAACTGTAACGGCATTTTACAGTAAAATTACATTAAATGTACCATCAGATCTATCACAGTCATTTACTGTATATAGTAATGAAACTTTCTGTTTCCTTCCTTACTATAGGAAAAAGAAAGTTAATCATGATAATTTTTTACAGTACTAAAGATCCGACAGCGGATTCATTTACCTGAACGCTACAGACACAAAAGTGCCATATCTGCTGCATTTAACATGTAGCCACTACAAGAGCAACTCTCTCTCTATCTCTCTCTCTCTCTCTCTGACACCCGTCAGCAGTAATTAATAGTGACCCGGTGTGGAAATGCTCACGTCATCGTGTTATCTCTTTAGAGAATTCTCTCGGCCGTGCCAAATGCCTGAGCTGGGCCTCAGCCTGAGTGACACACATGGCATCAAACCTCCAGCTCCAGAGATGAGATAACCCTGCCAAATCATTCTGTTAAAAATACAGTAAAATGTAAACAGAACAAACTTTTACATTTTAAAACCGTGTTTTTTAAACTGGTAAATCCAACAGCCCTTTCTGCTAAAAATGCTTTACTTAGTATTTTTGTCTTGTTTCTAGTCCAAATATCAAAAAATTCTTGAGATGCATTTACTGAAGTAGTAAAATGACATTAGATAATAAGTCTTGTTTTCTGGCGAAATAAATAAAAATTAAGTGAGTTTTTGAGCTTTTTCAAACAGAAAGAAGATTATTTTTCATACCCCATTGGCAGATAATTTAGCTTTTTTTTAAGCATCAACTCACTTAATTTTTTTTATAATAACTTTTTATACTTACTTTTATACTATAGTAACTTTTAGTTACTTATATATATTTTTCACAGAACATAATAAAAGGAACATTATCTGAGACAACTGATAAAATAACAAAAGTAATACAGAGAAATAATAGTAATAAATAAAAATATTCTGTATATATATATATATATATATTGCTGCACCTTATATGAATGTTCACATCTCAACAACAATAATATACAGCCATATATATATATATACAATAAAAAATAGATTTAAATGTTCTTTAACGATGTGCCACCTCTGATTAAAAAGGTCAGTTCTCAATTCAACTTACTTAATTTTGATTAATGGGCTATATGCACGCAAAAGTTCGGCATTTGACGCAAGGATGCTCGTCCATTTCCGGTTGTGGAGATTAAAGCGGAGGAAAACCGAGGAAAACAGGATTATGGCAGAGTCTTCAAAATGTACTGTCCTCCCGTCTTTGAAACGAAACGTACATATGTTTAGATGTAATTTTATATATTGTTATGTTTATTAAATATAATTTTAAAAAGAAGCCTAAACACAATGAGGGGTGTCTGTTTTATCTGTTTTTGTGACTAACGTTTCTTTAGTATAACCATGGAGTATAAAATTCAATATAAATTCTCGGTATTGCATTGGACTCTACGATCGGCGGAAGTTATCGAGCATCCTTACACCTTCCCCGGAAATACCGCCGTGCATAGAGCCCATTACCCCGGAAAACAGGACATAAAATCTTATGTCATTTTACTCATCTAATAAATGCATCTTGATTTAAGATTTTTTTGATATTTGCACTGGAAACAAAAATACTAAAATACTAAGTAAGAAAAGCACTTGTTGTACAGTGTTGGGAGTAACGCATTACAAAAGTAATACATTACTGTAACATATTAGTTTTTGCTGTAACGCAGTAGTGTAAGGCATTACTAATCAATTTTCAGTAATATTTTACTCGTTACATGTTCAGTGAGGCTTGTATTACAGTTGTATTACAGTGTATTGTCTGCTTTTACTTCTTAAAGGCAACAGACTGCGTGAAAGTTTTAAAGCAGTCTTTTAGTGCCAGTTCAGAGCGGTCGCGTCTGTAACATTGTTTTTTCCTCATAAATGCGAACACGAAAACTAAAATAAAATGAATATTTTAAGGTCTATGGAGACTGGAGAGCCAACCCTTCCTCATCCGATTTGCGCAGTGTAATTAACAGAATTACAAAAAATATATTTTACCTCCTATTTTTTTGTCACGCATGAATGTGTGTCTTTTCCCTAATATTAAAAATAAAACAGACTGATATTTGTCTAATGTCTGGAGTCCTTTAAGGAAGTAGCCTATATACGTTTCAATACATGAATTTTCTGGGAATTTTTATTTCAAGTTTTGACTGCAAATGTCATGTCCATAATGCTGGACTTCCCCAATTTTCAATAATTTATCCTCAACTAGTTTTGTGGTGTAGGTCTACGTATTTTATAATGTTAACTTCAAATAATACTAATAGCCTAATTTAAAGATAAGGTAGCATTGGATCTGGACGGTAAGGAGAATAACGCTGGGAGTTGGAAGAGGTGTGTCGCGATTCTGTAGGTTCGTGGATCTGAGTCGTGTGGCGAATCGCGATTTCGGTTTCATATTGCATATCGTTACAGCCCAAAAGTTAAGTTCTACTTAGTTATTTTGGTGAAAGTAACTCAAAAGTAATACATGAGTAATGTAACGCATTACAATTCTGAGACAGTAATATTGTAAGGTAATGAATTACTTTTAAATAACAGTAACAAGTAATACCTAATGTATTACAGTTTGGAAGTAACTTGCACAATGTTGTATATATATATATATATATATATATATATATATATATATATATATATATATACTGTATATATACAGTATATCATAATAAAAATGATGGAAAAGAGAAAGACAATTTGACACTAAAACAATGCAATAAGCATTCATTTAACAACAAAAGATGTAAGATAAAACTGTAATGGATGTAAATATTAGTAAACTAAGAAGAAACATACAATAGTGGCCAAAAGTGATGTTTTTAATATCAAAATATGAGGAAAATATTTTATACTTTTAATATGAGGGAAGAACAAAACACGGTATTTATCTGACTAAAATTATTTGCGGAAAATACAAACTTGTTTTTTGCATTTTCCTTGTTTGTTTTTTTTTTCTCCTTGTTTTTCATGCATTTATAATTTCTTTGTATGACAGCCTGGACAAAAAATACTTGTTTGGCCAATTATCTGAATTACCATTAAATTCTGGGAATGCCAGTTATGGCTTTTCAATGAAAATTATAAGATGAATAGTGTTTTTTTTTTTGTTTTTTTTACCTAAAATTACATAAAAAGCAAGGATCTATTACAATCTCCATGTAAATGAACTTGCTAACCAATTAAAAGGGTTTCTTTGAAGCATTTTTACAGTTAAAATCACAAAATTTCCAATTTGTCAAACTAAATTTTCTGGTCTATATGTGTGTCTGCCGTTAAAAGTATAACAATCTGCACAACATGATCTGTGCTGCAGTAATATTCCAGGAGTGATGCACTAATCTATTTCGGAGTGACTCTAAATGCAGAGCAATGCTTCACCCGGATACAGAAGGAGCACATGTGCTACTAAACACCATTCATTTCTGCAATATTACTCAATTAATGCGGCATCTGTTTCTCCCCATTGACCTTTGGCTATTATTACAGTAGGTGAAACTCGAAAAGTTAGAATATCGTCCAAAAGTTAAGTAATTCAACTTAAAAGGTGAAACTAAAATATTATATAGACTCAGTACATGTAAAGTGAGATATTTCAAGCCTTTAATACGGATTACAGCTTGTGAACACCTTTTCACAATATTCTAATTTTGAATTTGGGATTTTCACAAACTGTAATCCATAATCATCAAATGCTCTTATTCATGCTCTTATTCATTCAAGTGCTTTTTACCATTTTTTTTTGTCCAGTATCCTCACAAGTCTTAAAATGAGTTCAATTAAGTCTTAAATGAAAGTAAAGAGTTGAGAAAATAGGATGCGTTTCAGATCCACGTCAGGTCTTAAAGTGACAGCAGCCTAATAAACCTGACGCTGTCTGTCAGAGGATAATCAAATAACAAAAGATAAAAAGGTAAATCACGCACTCACTGCTCTAGACTAGCTTTAATAAGGATTAATCAATATTTAATTTATAATTTATGCAGTGAAGACTGTGAAGTGTTAATTCAATTTATTTGTATGTCCTGTTAGACCTGACAAACTTAAAGCACTGTTTACAAGGTTACATCTCAAAATCAGTAAAAAAAAATAAAAAAATAAAATAAAGTAAAAAAAAAAAATACTTTTTTGTACTTTTTTGTGCAAAGTAAAAATCTGAACCGCTTTGACTGGGCCAATCGAAATAATTGAGCCCTGATATGTTGAAACGCAGATACAAGTGGTATTTATTATAATGGATATGTGAAGATTGAGTTTAGTAAATGTTCACTTAAAAAGTTGTTATATATTTTTAAAGACTAATAAATGTTGAAATTGATAGATTTCAATAATGCTGAATGCTAAATGCTGAATGGCTAAAATTCATAAAAAGATGCATGAAACAAATATTTTGTCTTTTGTCTTTATGATGTTTCTACATTCATTTGGAGATTAAATGTGAAATTATTACAATATAAAAATAGCCTATTTTAAAATCTTTAATGTTAGGAGTGATTAATCATGCTTAATTTAAGAAAAAAAAATGTTTAATGAATTAGTTGTTTTTTTTATCGATTGACAGCATTATACATATACAGTATAGCCTACTATTAAAAATGAAAACAATTTTAGCTAGCTAATATACAGGCCAACAAGGTGAGTCAGCCTAGTGAATTATGACAGCAACATTTCATACAGTACATAAAAACTGAACTACTGTACTAGACAGCATCACTTCTTTACATGTAGGCTAGCTTGTGTAACAGAGCCAAAGTAAGAGTCAGTCTGGCCATCTCTGCCCCACAGCCTGCACACACCGATATGACAACTGACAGATCATGCAATTAGTGAGAAGATAAGACACCCTGCCCTCCAACACCAACACACAACACACACACACACACCCCTGAAACCAGAAAATATAGCTCGTTCAAACCAAATTCCTGTCAGCGAATGCGCGTGCCTCCAAACAAAAACACGCACGTTCCCGTGAGAACCTCCCACCCGCGCGACCCGAACGTCCCACTAACGACCTAAAACGAAAATGTGACAGAGACATAGCCATTCTTACCGATGTATTACCTCTGACAAGTAATCCGGGGTTTACTCTCACGTTTTCTCTAGAAAAAGCGAGATGTGGATCGGCTATGCAAGTCTCTGGTCCTGGCGTCCCCGGCGCGCACCCTACTGTCAATCAAATGAGCCCGGCAGCCGCTTCCGGGACTTCCATATTTGGGAATGATGAATCAGAGATGCCTCGACAGAGCAGACACTGAGGAACTCTCGAAGGCATTACACTGAAGAATGGCAAACACCCATTCAGAAAAAGTATAAATATGAAAGAAAAAAATAATGTTTTATATAAGTAGTTTGGATTAAACGGTGAGTTATTATAAGAAAATGAAAATATGTTAGTATGTTTTACTTGACTTATTAAATAAGAAATATGTCTTATATATGTCAGAAATATGTGCTGTCAAATCGATTAATAGCGATTAACATATATAGCCTATATAGCCTATTTGCGTGTGTGTGAGTGTGTGTGTATGTATATTGTATATATATATATATATATATATATATATATATATGAAGAGTTCAGATGCAAAAGCCTCTAAGTGTCATTTGAAATTTTCTTCTAAAATGATCATTTTTATCAACCTTGTATATTTAAGTTCAGTAATTTCACTTAAATGGCAATGAAGATTACCTATTAATTGCCATTTAAGTGAAATTACTGAACTTAAATATACAAGCTTGATAAAAATGACCATTCTAGAAGAAAATTTCAAATGGCATTTAGATGCTTTTGCATCTGAACTCTTCATATACACACTATACAAACATGCACACACAACACACACATAGGCTATATATATACACTCACCGGCCACTTTATTAGGTACACCTGTCCAACTGCTCGTTAACACTTAATTTCTAAGCAGCCAATCACATGGCGGCAACTCAGTGCATTTAGGCATGTAGACATGGTCAAGACAATCTCCTGCAGTTCAAACCGAGCATCAGTATGGGGAAGAAAGGTGATTTGAGTGACTTTGAACGTGGCATGATTGTTGGTGCCAGAAGGGCTGGTCTGAGTATTTCAGAAACTGCTAATCTACTGGGATTTTCACGCACAACCATCTCTAGGGTTTACAGAGAATGGTCCGAAAAAGAAAAAACATCCAGTGAGCGGCAGTTCTGTGGGCGGAAATGCCTTGTTGATGCCAGAGGTCAGAGGAGAATGGCCAGACTGGTTCGAGCTGATAGAAGGCAACAGTGACTCAAATAACCACCCGTTACAACCAAGGTGGGCAGAAGAGCATCTATGAACGCACAGTACGTCGAACTTTGAGGCAGATGGGCTACAGCAGCAGAAGACCACACCGGGTGCCACTCCTTTCAGCTAAGAACAGGAAACTGAGGCTATAATTTGCACAAGCTCATCGAAATTGGACAATAGAAGATTGGAAAAACGTTGCCTGGTCTGATGAGTCTCGATTTCTGCTGCGACATTCGGATGGTAGGGTCAGAATTTGGCGTCTACAACATGAAAGCATGGATCCATCCTGCCTTGTATCAACGGTTCAGGCTGGTGGTGGTGGTGTCATGGTGTGGGGAATATTTTCTTGGCACTCTTTGGGCCCCTTGGTACCAATTGAGCATCGTTGCAACGCCACAGCCTACCTGAGTATTGTTGCTGACCATGTCCATCCCTTTATGACCACAATGTACCCAACTTCTGATGGCTACTTTCAGCAGGATAATGCGCCATGTCATAAAGCTGGAATCATCTCAGACTGGTTTCTTGAACATGACAATGAGTTCGCTGTACTCAAATGGCCTCCACAGTCACCAGATCTCAATCCAATAGAGCATCTTTGGGATGTGGTGGAACGGGAGATTCGCATCATGGATGTGCAGCCGACAAATCTGCGGCAACTGTGTGATGCCATCATGTCAATATGGACCAAACTCCCTGAGGAATGCTTCCAGCACCTTGTTGAATCTATGCCACGAAGAATTGAGGCAGTTCTGAAGGCAAAAGGGGGTCCAACCCGTTACTAGCATGGGGTACCTAATAAAGTGGCCGGTGAGTGTATATATATATATATATATATACAAACTTTGTAAGATGTGATTAATCGCGATTAATCGATTTGATTAGTTATAGTATTATATTATTACTGCAGTCAAATCGATTAAACAAGATAAATCACATTTAACAAAAGTTTGTCAATATATGTGTGTGTGTGTGTGTGTGTGTGTGTGTATGCTGTATATATATATATATATATATATATATATACATAAATACATAGGGCCTACACACACACACAATGAATGTAAATATAGCCTATATGTATTGTATGTATATGTATGTATTTATGTGTACAGTATATATAGACTACTGTATACACACACACACTATGTAAGATGTGACTATACGATTAATTGATTTGACAGCACTAATAATATAATAATGCAATGTTAATATAACACAATATATATTCAAAAAATACAATGACACAATAATCAATGATAATAATTATGTGAATATTATCAAAACATAAATGTATTTAAAAAATGTCAGAAGCCAATGTGAATACAACGATTTGTAAGAACTAGATTTTTCAAGATTTCTTCTTTTTTATCATCTAAGACATTCCATTTTGTCAACTAACATAAATTTAAATTTAAAAGTAATACAAAATCTCATAAATTCCCCCCCCCCCCCACCACCACCACCAACACCAAACACGCACACACACACACACACACACCCAAAGCATTGCATTATTACTTTTCTAATCACTTTATTCCATCTCCATGACCTCTGGAGCAACTCTAGTGCCCTTCTGACAGCGTGACGGATGAGATTATCCAGAGATGTTGCTGTCAGCTGGTATCAGCTTGTATTCTGCATGTGTTCCCGGTGGCGTTTCTTCCCGGGAGCCTGCATTATCATGGCCCACGGTAGACAAGCATCCCTGGTGACGGTGTGGTGGAAAGTTTCACTCCTGAAACAGCGTCAGGTTACACTCCGGGCAGAAATAGATCCTCCAGAGATGTGGCCCTTCGGCATTTCTTATTGATAAGAAAATCCCTGAATAATTCACGTATGTCCAATAAGCCAAACAGCCTCTACAGGTGAAGCCGCGTTGGGTGGGTTTTAAGTAAAGATACACATGTGTTGTGAGGGTTATGTGTAAATAGGCTTGAGTTACAGGGGATGTCAGGCTGGATCAGAATTTAGGCCCGGTTTATGGTCATTACCCAAAGTGCTCAGTGCCGAACACTAGAAGACTGGTTCAACTAGGTCAACATGGTGGATCTCAGATCCATGACACAACGATTTGGATAAAACATTGCTCAATCTAGATCTGGTATGAAGTTCACAAACAACAAACATACATAAAATTGCTTACACCATCACCCGACGAGTCATATTGAATTATATTTAGTGATTCTGGCGACGTGTTTGCACATTCATTAAGTCACAAACACTCAGTCAAGTATCCAACACTCTTGTTAAAACATTCTTTGAATTATGGGGCAAAATAACAAATTTATTAAATTGATCTTCAAAAAATATTCTTAGTCGCCTAAATCAACATTATCACCACGTTTTTTACAATGAAGACTATGATGAGATACTTACAATGGAAGTTAATTTGAGCATTAAATTGCTTTTTTTTAATGTGACATAATCAATTGGCAAGTTTTTCTGTGAGAAGTTATATCCAATTTTAACACGAAAACATATATATATATATTATATATATATATATATATATATATATATATATATATATATATATATATATATATATATATATATATATACACTCACCGGCCACTTTATTAGGTACCCCATGCTAGTAACGGGTTGGACCCCCTTTTGCCTTCAGAACTGCCTCAATTCTTCGTGGCATAGATTCAACAAGGTGCTGGAAGCATTCCTCAGGGAGTTTGGTCCATATTGACATGATGGCATCACACAGTTGCCGCAGATTTGTCGGCTGCACATCCATGATGCGAATCTCCCGTTCCACCACATCCCAAAGATGCTCTATTGGATTGAGATCTGGTGACTGTGGAGGCCATTTGAGTACAGCGAACTCATTGTCATGTTCAAGAAACCAGTCTGAGATGATTCCAGCTTTATGACATGGTGCATTATCCTGCTGAAAGTAGCCATCAGAAGTTGGGTACATTGTGGTCATAAAGGGATGGACATGGTCAGCAACAATACTCAGGTAGGCTGTGGCGTTGCAACGATGCTCAATTGGTACCAAGGGCCCAAAGAGTGCCAAGAAAATATTCCCCACACCATGACACCACCACCACCAGCCTGAACCGTTGATACAAGGCAGGATGGATCCATGCTTTCATGTTGTAGACGCCAAATTCTGACCCTACCATCCGAATGTCGCAGCAGAAATCGAGACTCATCAGACCAGGCAACGTTTTTCCAATCTTCTATTGTCCAATTTCGATGAGCTTGTGCAAATTGTAGCCTCAGTTTCCTGTTCTTAGCTGAAAGGAGTGGCACCCGGTGTGGTCTTCTGCTGCTGTAGCCCATCTGCCTCAAAGTTCGACGTACTGTGCGTTCAGAGATGCTCTTCTGCCCACCTTGGTTGTAAAGGGTGGTTATTTGAGTCACTGTTGCCCTTCTATCAGCTCGAACCAGTCTGGCCATTCTCCTCTGACCTCTGGCATCAACAAGGCATTTCCGCCCACAGAACTGCCGCTCACTGGATGTTTTTTCTTTTTCGGACCATTCTCTGTAAACCCTAGAGATGGTTGTGCGTGAAAATCCCAGTAGATTAGCAGTTTCTGAAATACTCAGACCAGCCCTTCTGGCACCAACAATCATGCCACGTTCAAAGTCACTCAAATCACCTTTCTTCCCCATACTGATGCTCGGTTTGAACTGCAGGAGATTGTCTTGACCATGTCTACATGCCTAAATGCACTGAGTTGCCGCCATGTGATTGGCTGCTTAGAAATTAAGTGTTAACGAGCAGTTGGACAGGTGTACCTAATAAAGTGGCCGGTGAGTGTATTTAAATGATGATTTAAATCATGCTCAAACAATAGGTTAATAGATGAGTGTTAAAGGGCTGGTAGTGTAATGTGTAGTGTAGTGTAGATGTAAAATAAATCTCTGATGGCCCCAGAGTGTGTATCTGAAGTTTTAGCTCACAGCTTACATCACAGATGTGTATGTTTTTATATAGCATGTTAAAATTGTCACCTTTTGAGGGTTAGCAAAAACGCACCGTTTTTTTGTCTGGCCCTTTAAATGCAAATGAGCTGCTGCTTCCGGCACAGGGGGCGGAGTTTCAAGAGCTCCTGTGTTTGTGTCATAGGTTTGTGTGTGTGTGTTCGTGCGTTCCGATTACTTTAGCAGACAGGTACTCAAAATTTAAACAACTTTTAGCCTTTTATTTTCAAACCGGAGTCGGACAAAGATGGAGAGACTCAAGAAGAAGTGACAACATGAAGAATGCAACAGGACATTTCTGAATGGTTAGTTGATGAATTTATGTAGCTTACTATCTTCTAGACATCAATTAGCATATTCTGTCATGATAATCTATAAATCATGTTCCTGGGGGCAGGGTTTATGTAAATGTTATAGGGTTGTGATGTCACTAACCCGAGAGAGGAAGCTCGTGTAGTTCTACCAGCCGTTTGTTGTGGTCCTTAAAAAGCAATTTCTTTATAAGCAAATATCTCCCTTTTGCTTTGCTTCAAAATCAACCACAAAGAATAAGTGTACAATTTTAAACTTTGCCTTTAAATCCTCCAAAAATTTGCAAAAGCCTCACCGTAACATTGATTTTTGCCTTTTTTAAAATAAAAAAACTTTACATTTTTTTGTGGTAATCAACATTATTTACAAATGCTGTCAGTTTTAACAAAATAAATAAAATAAGTGTTATTATATATATGTATACGCATAACTTTTCACTTAAAAAAGTGCCACATCACTAGCTTTTAAAAAAAAAAATCTAAATAATTCTTTTGCTAATAAACACAAATGCTGTCCATCAGTTTAACTGGTTCTGAACCTGTAATATTCCTCAATTATTAAGCAATGTTTGGACAGGCAGAGTTGAGGCTAGCTAAATTTGTCACCTCACAAACCAGCATAAACAAGGTCATAAATAAGAATCTCGGTGTGTGGCGAGGAGAAGTGACGGCCAGTGTGTTTATACGGTTGGCTTGCTGAGAATATCTGCTTCTTTTTCACGACACCTTCATCCACGAGAAACACGGAAAGCTTGCGCTGTGACTGCAGTAGTAAAACTACCGCCTGTCTAAACAAAGACCGTACGAAACAAAACATCAGCACTTTATATCACCATTGAAATACTTTGCAATTCACCACTCAATGATGCAGCAATGACCTTTTGAATAAGTTACACAATATAACAATCTCAAAGCATGAGCACATCAATCAGGCGATGCAAGAATGGAGATTCATGCAATGAACAAAGCGTTTGAGGTTTAAATATAGAACCTTTTTATTTCCATTTAGAGTAAATAGTGTTGAAAATCTGAAATAAGGCTTAAATACCTACAGAACGTTTGTATTTAAATAGTCAATAACACTTTACATGCCCAAATCCAGTGACAAAGAAAAATGTGTCCTTTTTCGTGTTGTTATTTTTTTCTTCTTCTTCTTCTTCTCCTCATATTTTCCCTTGTAAGAAATAGTTCAAGTATAAAAATTCTCAACAGTGTAAAATAGCCCATCTGATGCATATTTAAAGCAATAGAAGCACAGCATCCATTCTTGACATTGACAATACATTCTAGTGTATGAAGCAGCATGTCCCTTCGCTCTTTTTTTTTTTGTCCTTTTAAACAGTTCTGGATCTGACAAATGGATATAACATGCCCCCCAAAAACAACAGGCCTGCAATAAGACAAAATGTCATACGCCAGGCATTAAACTAGCTGATATTTAATGTCATGTTCTAAAATTCCAAATGTAATGAAAAAAAAAAAGATTTGTACAGTGCACATACAGAATTGCATTTTAAATAAGTCCTACAACAACACTTTTGGTTGAGTATGTTAATAATACTACAACTAAGCCTACTCAATAACTTATAATAATAATAATAATAATATGCCATGAGATGAATACATTATATCCATACAGTACCGCTTCCAAGTCTGATCTCAGAGCGTCAACTCAAAATAAATATCTTAAATAGCAGATCTCTTTAAATAGCATTACAAATGTAAGGCACACAAAGAACCCTCGGATCCTTTCGCTATAGTGCTGTTCTGTAAAGAGTTGCTCATTGAAATACGTAGACCTTAGTAAGTGTGCTGGTGCTCAGTGAACATATAAAGACCAGACCGATAGCGCATAGCGGATAGCTTGCGGTGACGTTCCTCTCTTCTCACGACTTCAGATAAAGATCCGGTGCTGATTTTGGGAAGATCCACAGGTCTGTCCCAGTCCTCTTTAGGATAAGAAGAAGTGGGAAATGTTGACAGACCCGGAGCAGGACCGGTTCCAGGGATAAAACGGCAACAGCTCAACGAACCAGAGCAATCCAGAGCTGTGTGTGTGTGTGTGTGTGTGTGTCAGTGCCTGTTCCTTCCAACACAGCAGTTGCTCCCTGATTCTAGTACTAATACTGAGCAATGCCACGTTATTTTTCCCTACATAGTCATCTTAGTGTGTGTGTGTGTTTATGTACGCCCACAGACAGACATTAACACTTAAATTTGTGTATAACGGTGTACATGTTAGTCCGTGTGTGTGTGTGTGTTTTGTAAGCATATAATACAATACATCTCAGTCTTTTTGTCTTTTTTTGAGAGTACCTTCAAATTGTTCGATGCCCATTGTGGGGGAGCAAAAGAAAATCTCTCCTATTCCTGCACTTTGTTTTGTTTTTTCCCCCGTTTGCTTTGCATAGGTCAGGAGGTCAACGCAGGAGTCAGAGAAAGTGGGGACATTCAGCATCAGATAGATAAAAAGGTAGTTCACAAAACATAAAACATGCTAACACTGGATCTTTCTCCATTTCCGTCGCCACAGTTAGGTCTACTATCCCTGATTGGCAGAGTTTCTCGTTTCGAATTCGCTGAAAAAAATGCTCCATTTCCCTGATGATCAAAAAAAAAAAAAATGCACTTGAGAAGACGACAGAACAAAACGAGCCCTCAAATAAATGAGAATAAATATAAAGGTAAGGGGCCCTAGAATCAAAACAATGAGGGACACTTCCGAGTATCCTTCGGAAAAACAGTCGCCTACATTAAATGACAGCATCGGGACTCAAGGTTTTCGTCTACCACAGTGATTAGTCGCTCCGTCCGCAATAAATATCCTACTCTAATATTAATCATAGTAATAAAGATAACATAATAATGAGTAAAAAGCTAGATTCCGTCCTTTCCTGCGATTTTTTTTTTTTTGGTTTTGATGTTTTCTTTTCTTTAAATCACAGCAAGTTGGAAAGCAATGTAGTTCCCATCTCACTAATAATAATAATAATAACAATCTCTCTACCAATTCCTATCCCCCTCCCTCGTCTTCCTCCTCTTGCAATCAACCCACAACCAGCAACTATCTTTGTCACCATCATCTAGTAGCATTCGCTGGGCGTCGTCTCCCGTCCGCCGCTTTGGTTGCTATTGCATTCGTTCGGCTTGTAGTTGTTGAGGCTGGTATTGACCGAAAGCGGCGGCGGCGGCCGCGGTTCCCGGAGCCGCGGTTGCTAATGGTTGTTGCATGGCGTAGCCGTAGCCGGCGGCAGCTACGTAACCGGCTGCGGCGGGAGAAGCCGCGTACGGATATTGCTCGTACGCCGCGGCGGCTGCCGCTGTCGCAGCGCTAGCGTACTGAGCGTACGCGGCGCCCGTGTAGTCGATGTACGGCGAAGACGCTGTAGCGGAAGCCGTCGCTGGCTGGAGGTGAGGGATGACCATGCTGGGTTGCATGAAGGCCTGCGGGTACACATAGTGAGTTGGGATCCTGCGAGAGACAAACACGACAGCACGTTAGCATTGCATTATGGAAACCACATCTATAGCGCGGCCAAAACACCCAATTTTAAAAATTCAGTAACACCCAAGGAAATGCCTGCTAGTGATTATTAGAGATATAAGGTTGCCAAAATAGATATCTCTCAGTACAACTGTAATATCCGTGCAACAAAAAATTACTGTTTTCAAACAGGTTTTTCCAAACAAACAGATGCCCCTCCCCCAAACGCACGTCAATGGCTGAGTCACTGTTGCTATGTTGGGTTTGTCTAAATAGTTAACGGGATAGTTCACCCAAAAATTTTAATTCTGCCATTAATTACTCACCTCATGTCCTTCCAAACCTGTAAGAGTTACGCTCATCAGAACACAAATGAAGATATTTGAAATCTGAGAGCTTTCGGTCTCTCCATTGACAGCTACGCAACTACCACTGACGCTTCAAAAAGTTCATAAAGCGATCGTAAAACGAATCCATATGAATCGAACGGTTTAGTCAAAATTTTCTGGAAAGACTTGATCGCTTTATATGATGACCAGATTGAAGTTAGGATTTTATTCACAATTAAACATTGATTTTTTAATTCAAAAATCAATTAGTTAAATGAGAACAAACCTCTTACAGAAGCTCAGATGTGCTGCAAAACATGAGAATGAATTGGTTCAAGCATGTCAAGCGAATCGAATCTGTTCATCACAAAGAAATCGTGTCTCTAAATTCATATGGATTAGATTTACGATCTTATTAACTTTTTAAAGCTTCAAAGTGGTCGTTGTGTAGTTTTTAATGGAGGGACAGCTCTCAGATTTCATCAAAAAGATCTTATGGGTTTGGAACGACATAAGGGTTAGAGTTATTAATGACAGATATGTAATATTTTAGTGAAATAACCCTTTAAACAGAGAAATGTTTCAATAGTCAGGTTTGATCCTCTAAGTCACATTTCATCCTCTAATAATCGGCAAGTCCAATTTGAATCCATTCCGTTAAATCCATTTGTACATCAGCAAGTGATTGGTCAAACAACCAGATGCTCTGCCTCCAAAGTCACACCATTGGCTATGCCACTGTTGCCATGTCAGGCTGGTCGGGATTCTCAAACAGAGCAATCAATGTTTTGATTGCGCCACAGTGTTTTCAACCTAGATATACACATAAAACAAAACACTTTTCCCGACAAAATTATTTTGCTACAGTTTTTTTTACTATACAAAAAAATAAATAAATAATGCACAGAATACATTAACTTTAACAATCAGTTATGAAAACAGTAGTCAGCATTTGAAGTGGATCAAAAAAGGGAATCAAAGTTGTCTTAAGAAAAAAACGGGAATGGGCTCTATGCATGGCGGTATTTCCGGTGAAGGTTTAAGGATGCTCGATAACTTCCGCCGATCGTAGAGTCCAATGCGATACCGAGAATTTATATTGAATTTTATACTCCATGGTTATAATAAAAAAACGTTAGTCACAAAAACAGACAAAACGGACACCCCTCGTTGTGTTTAGGCTTCTTTTTAAAATTATATTAAATAAACACAACTATATATAAAATTACATCTAAACGTATGTACGTTTCGTTTCAAAGACGGGAGGACAGTAAATTTTGAAGACTCTGCCATAATCCCGTTTTCCTCAATTTTCCTCCGCTTCAATCTCCACAACCGGAAATGGACGAGCATCCTTGCGTCAAATGCGGAACTTATGCGTGCATATAGCCCATTAATCAAACTTCATGTAATACTTTGATCCACTTCAAGTGTTGAATACTGTATTTAGTTTGTTCTCGCTTGTTTTGGCAAGTGTTTATAATTTCTGTATATAATAGCTTGGATAAAAATTATGTTCATTGTGTTATTATCACAACTAAAACAATCGATTCCAAGCAAAACTATGCAATACGCTTATAAAAACGTTTAATAATATTTGCATAAAGGCTGCAGATGTCATTTGTCCTAGGCTGGACATCACTACAGTATCCATGGGCCGCTGAAGTCATGCCAAAAGTCGCATGCGCTCAACACCCCGGTGTCGGTCGTGTGAAACGAGGGAACGCTGGACCCAGGAGAGGAGAAGAGGAGATGAGGGGAGCATTGTGAATATGTCAGGGCTACTTTGACAGCTGGACAGTTTTCAAAAAGGGACGTTGCTGGCTGTTTCCCCCTCCAACTCTTAGACAATGAGCCTCAGGCTGGACAGCAAACACAGAGGGGAGTTTTGATTAAATAAGCAATCAGGAACAATGAGCCCATTCTGCCTTTCATTACGTACCCCGTCGCACTTTTAGAGCGCTTTTCACATTTACTGTCTGCACTAAACAGACGGGTGAGAACTTTTTATACGAGTTCACGGATGCATTGGATCATATAACTCACTAAATATGAGTCAAGACGATGCAACCATTATAAACAGGGATCGTATACAGATACTGTGAAATGAAATCAGAGAAATTTTGGGGTTTTCAAGGACTCTCAATTATCAAACAATATCTTTATTATCTTTCAAATTCTAAAAAAGGTGAATAGATGAACAAAAATATACCAATAAAACAAAAAAGGTACGAATAAAGTGCAGAAGATGCAAGTTAACTAACCATTAGAATGAATACTATGACAAAGATATCGCTTTCCTTATTCCTTATCCATATATATATATATATATATATAAAAACCTGAAAACTGTATTATATACTTGGCTATTTATAAGCAATATCACACTCATAGCAAAGTAAAATGGCTCTATATCTATATATCAGATAGGCTTTTTCCAAGTACCTTTTCATAAATAAATGACATTCATAAATATGTCGATTCAAGGGTTTTCCAGGAAATACATTTCCAAAAGTCAAATTCAAGCACCTTGTACGAACCCTGTATAGAAGACTGTGAGAACGGAGTTTAAGATATTCCCACGAAAAATGTAAGTAAATCATCTGAGCTTATGATGGAATTTGTCTACATCAACTTTGACGAGTATGAAGTCCCACCAGGATTTTTAGATGGTGTTTAAGACTGTAATTTGAGCTAATTACATCCAATATTTAGTGGAAAAAGTGAGAGAATGTTTCTATCATGGCAACCCTATTTATAGCACACCATTATATCAATCAAACCTGACCAAACTCACAAAACCTCTGCCCACATTAAAGAAAATAAGCATAACACAGGCGTCAAGAAATAAAGAGCAACAGAACGTGTTACCCACATCAACTCACAAAAACACAATCACTCACAGAATCCCATTAATGAGAGGAATGAAATTAAACCTTCCTTTTTCTCTCTCAGGTCAAAGGGCAAAGATGCTCCTATGAAATCTTTTATAGGTGCCTTGCCAGCCTGAGGTGACAGCAGGGATTGTGTTAATATCGACTACCAGAAGAGTCATCATACACAAAATAACAGTGAGAACATCACATTCAACCTGAACAGGCATCATCACAACAACACAAAACCACACACAAGGTGACTCGTTTCAGAAATATAGTCCAATATCAGGCTGCTCTGTTATTGTTAGCATATTGGGATCATACAACTGAACACGCAGTCGAAAAGCAGTACCAAGTTAGAGAAATCTTGCGCAACCACTTTAGTGTTAAATAAAGCGCAGCTGACTCACAAACACAGTGAGTGACAGCGAGGGCTAGACGCTATTTTTGGTGCCGATTTCTAAATACAAAGAAAGGATGCGCATATATGATAAACATAATGTGTTACTATGCCACTCATCAGGAAAAGTCAGGTTTGTGTCTAAAGACAGGTTAACCTTAGTTCTACAGATCTAGAAAACACATGTTGTTGTCATCTGTGAAGATCTATCAAGACAACTAATCTAATCTTCATCTGTATAAGTGGTTTTTACACACTATGGGTCAGATTTACTAACAGTTACAGTGCAAACTTTTGGTGTTAAAGACTACTGACAGGATTTACTAAAGACACGCTGGAAAAAAATAGCGCTGGACAGTTGTTGCACATGCATTTATGTAAGAGTTTCCCTTTCAGACGTATTTAAAGTAGTAGTTCAATTTTTTTAAAAAGTGCGCGTTTGTGACTCTCAAAATGAACAAATATTTTCGAGTCATTTGGTTCATTCAACGAACGAAACTCGAAAAAAGATTTGTTCATTTCTATGAACGCGTTCAAACAAGAGAGTCACGAACGCAGATCACAGAACAGAGCAAGGCGAATATTTGTGCTTATAAAACTTAAACTTTGTTATTTATTTATTAAATGAGCGATCATTTCACTTGATAAGACCCTTATTCATCGTCTGGTGTCGTTTAAAGCCCTTTGAAGCTGCACTGAAACTCTCATTTGGACCTTGAACTGTTTGGACCCCATTGAAGTCCATTATATGGAGAAAAATCCTGGAATGTTTTGATCAAAAACCTTCATTTCTTTTCGACTGAAGAAAGAAAGACATGGACATCTTGGACGACATGAGGGTGAGTAAATTATCAGCAAAAGCTTTTTAAAAATTTAATTACTCCTTTAAGTGAATCATGCAACGTCATTTCCTAAAGTTTGCGCTGGTCAATTTACGGGTGATTTCATTTGTCCTCAGCTGATCACGCGCAGAGCTTTCACTCCGATGGGCACATTAACGGGATTGCGCTCTCACACTAACTTGCCCTGTTTAGTAAATCTGGCCTGATGTGTGATGATGGCCCTATAAAGAAAGTTGCAGAACAGGCATGACTTTGCACATTTCAAACCTGACCCATATATTACACAGTCCCAATTTGACTACCAACACCATTTGGTTGCATTTGGTGAGGGCACAACACAGTCTAACGTGTCTGAAAGAGGATCTATTATGCTCTTTTACAAAGTGTTGGTGTTTTCAGGCTCTACTAGAGCAGGTTTTCCAACTTGAACGTTGATTATTTTCCTCATATTCTCCATTGTTGCGGCTCCTCTCTTCCCAGTCTGTCAGTAACGCTCTGTTTACTTCCTGTCTCTATGAAGCCCCTCCATCTGAAAAGCACACTGTGCTCTGATTGGTCAGATGCAGCAATGTGTTGTGATTGGTCGAGTGCTTCGAGTGTGTTTGCCAAACGTCCCGCCCCTTACCATAACCACCAGTTTAACACTAACTCAACCAGGCCCTGCCCCTTTATTCTGCGTATGAATTATTATAAAGAGGAATATTGTGACGTGTTTGAAACTCAAGACTACAATGGAGGCATTTCAGGAGTTCAGAAAAACACACTGATATAGAGAAGAGCTTTCTCATGCTCAAACAGCAACATTACACACTAGAGAAAGATGAACATGTAAAAAAGCCTATTTAACACTGATGCTAGGCGAGAGGTGCAATCTCAGTGGCAATGTGGCACATGTTGGGCCTTGTTGAGTTTATCTCGAAGCTAAATGTCAGGAGCGGCCCAGCACCCTAAACCCAGAGCGAGTGTGTGACAGTGACCGGAGCCAGAGAGAGAGAGAGAGAGAGAGAAAGAGCTTCATGCGACTGCAGTGTCAGCATTACAGCCTTTGTGCAAAACAATGGTGAAGCTTGTTTTCCTTAACGCCGCACGGGTCATGTGACGAAGGCTCGCTCAGGGGGCTGTGGCATCCAGACATTTGTTTGTCACAGCAGAGGCTCACAACACGGCAAACACATGCATGCATGTCACAAACACACACACACTCACTCACCCACGCACATACGCACACGCTGAGGAATCCTCCACTGATTAAATAATCACACTGAACGCCTGCGGCTTTTCCATAAGCCTGCTGATCTTACAGTAGATTGTCTGCCTTTGGAGAGATATATACTACTGTGTGGGCTTTTTTTTTTTTTTTTTTTTTTGAAGAAATTAATACTTTTACAATTCAGCAAGGATGTGTTAAATGCAAGATTACCTCATTCATAATTTTAACTTTATATTCAAAGAATGCTGAAAAAAGCATCACCGTTTCTACTAAAATATTGGAGTAGTTCACTTTAAAAAAAAAAAAAAAAAAACTTTTGCTGATAATTTACTCACCCCCATGTCATCCAATATATCCATGTCATTCTTTCTTCAGTCGAAAAGAAATTAAGGTTTTTGATGAAAACATTCCATAATGGACTTCAATAGGGTCCAAAGGTCCAAAAGACAGTTTCAGTGCAAACTGCAAACTGTTCAAAAGGCTTTAAACGATTCCAGACGATGAATAAGGGTCTTATCAAGCGAAACGATCGCTCATTTAAAAAAAATAATAATAATAGCTCTGTTCTGTGATGCGTGTTCGTGACTCCTGTTCGAACTCGTTCATGAAATGAACAATTAGTTCATTTCATTCGTTGATGACAAAAAAAGATTCGTTCAGTTTGCACTGAAACTCTCATTTGGACCTTGAACCATTTGGACCCCATTGAAGTCCATTATATGGAGAAAAATCCTGGAATGTTTTCATCAAAAATCTTAATTTCTTTTCAACTGAAGAAAGAATGACATGGATATCTTGGATGACATGGGGGTGAGTAAATTATCAGCAAAAGTTTTTTTTAAAAAGTGAACTAATCCTTTAAGCAGCACAACGGTTTTCAACATTGATAATAATCAGAAATGTTACTTGAGCAGCAAATCATCATATTAGAGTGATTTCTGAAGGATCATGTGACACTTAAGACTGGAGTAATGATGCTGAACATTCAGCTTTGATCATTGGAATAAATTACACATTAAAAATATGTCATAATGTTACTGTACTGTATTTTGATCAAATAAATGCAGAGCAGAAGAGACTTCTTTCAAAAAAAAAAAACAAATACATTTAAATGGCAGTGTAGTTTTACACGAGCAGTCGGCTAAATGAATAAACCCACGTGTCATTCCATACCAGTATTTTCTTTCTAAAGAAATATAAATAAGATGAGATCGACTTCACAAGCGGTTCATCTCCATATAGTAAACGTACTTGGTGATTTTTAATGCCAAGCTCCAAAGATGGCACCACAAAAGATAATAGTCAATGACTTGTGCTCTATTTCAAATCTTCTGAACCCACATTGTATGAGAAAACACCAAAAATATTATTCACTGAAAATACACAAAAGAACCAATTTAAATTTCATTTAAATACATTGTTTTTTTTAGTTAATTTTTCAGCAAATAGCTACTAAATAAGTTTGTTCATCACACAAAGCCACCATACTCTGTGTAAATACAGATTATTGGTGTATGTTTTACAAGAATATTAGTGCTGGGCAACGATTAAATCGCATCCAAAATAAAAGTTTGTGTTTGCGTAATGTGTGTACCGTGAATAATTATTTTGTATATAATTACACATAAGCATGTATATTAAGAAATATTTCCATGTATATAGCATATATACATTTACATTACATATAAACAAATAACACAATTCTCTTAAATATATACATGCATGTGTATTTATATACACAATTATGCACAATACACATACTTGTATATTATGTAAACACAAACTTTTATTTTAGATGCGATTAATCGTTGTCTAGCACTAAAGAAAATACTATAAAATTTCATTTTTAATTCAATGCATGCTTCAAAAGAATCAACGGTGTGATGCTTTTTTTTGGCGCTTGGCATTATAAAATTGATCCACTTTTGTTGTATGGAAAAGAGCATCTCAGACATTCATTATAAAAGAGTAAATTTGTAGGGTGTCGGTTTGTCCGGTCGGTTTAAGAAATCATACAAAAATGGATGACAGGGAATGTACAAGCACATCATCACCGACTCTAGGGACTCTGGATCCACTGCAGGATGCCTTATAGGGCCAGAGAAAAGAGAGAGAGAGAGAGAGAGAACGAGAGCTGAAAAAGAGGAGAAGTGAACAGACACAATGGAGATGGGAGAGAACGGTGAAGGGTGAGTATGTGTCAAACTCTCTGTGGTGTGAGTGTGACAGGACTCCCAATCAGTGAGCAAAATAAAACCGCAACGTGCAAGTTTGTAGTTGGGCTGTTGGGTTGGCGTGATGAGGGATCAACAACGGCACACAAAACAAAAATGGCACGCAAGACACCAGAAAAGAAAACACAACAAAGGTGAAAACAAACCAAAATGATCAAAAACACAAGCTCCAGCAATAAAAAACGTGAAGAAAATAAAAGGAAGCAAACTTTGCTCCATGGCAAAGTCATCACTCCTCCACAACACGGAAACTCAGCACCCCAAAAACCAGCCTTTTTTCCAGTCAAATTAAAAAAAAATGCACACAGTTAAGCTATCAACACCACTTCATAACGGTAAAAAGGCACACACAGCTCTATGTACTATTAAAAGTGAAAGTCCAAACCAAAATAAAACCAACGTACATGCATCTGTAATCACCATTTTCGAGCTTGTGTGTTTGAGTCTACAGGTACTGTAGCTACAGATCTGCACTATTCCTCAAACCACCAGTTATCTTAACCCAAATCGAGCCTGTCGGACCAGAGAAAGATAGACAACATTGAGTCAGGCTGTAAAGTCCAGTGTAAACTCACATACTGTACACACACACATTTACACACACTCTCTCAACATCAAAGTATTAAATAAGATTCAGAAATAACATCATGTCGTCCCTAACATCCATGTATAAAAATGAGTGCTGGGCAACGATTAATCGCATCCGAAATAAAAGTTTGTGTGTGTGCGCGTCTATAATTATTTTGTGTATATAAATACACACATATGCATGTATATATTTAAGAAATAATTTACTGTATGTATGTGTGTGTATATATATATATATATATATATAGATATATATAGATATGAATAGTTTATATATAAATAAAAACATTTTCATAAATGTATACATGCATATGTCTTATATATACAAAACAATTATACACAGTACACACACATATTATTATGTAAACACAATCTTATGGATGTGATTAATCGCATCTGAAATAAGTTTGTGTTTGTGTACTGTGAATAATTATTTTGTATATACAAAAACACACATATGCATGTATATATTTAAGAAATATTTTTACTGTGCATGTATATATATATATAATTTTTATTTTATATAGATAAATAATTCATATATATTAACTTTTTTTTTCTTAAATGTATACATGCATATGCGTTTATTTATATATACAAAATAATTGTACACAGGACACACTCATTATGTAAACACAAACTTTTATTTTGGATGCGATTAATCGTTGCCCAGCACTAATTAAAATACATTTGTTAATGACATATCAAAGCCTCTGTGATGTCATAATCTGGTCTTAAACCTGGTTTGATATTTAAAACGACCACTGAACACATGCATAGTCAACCTATTGTAGATGTTCCCTTTACTCACCCATATGGTCTTTGGATGAAAGCTGGGTGAATCTGAGGGACACCGAAGGTGAAACCTGCACACAAAAACAGCATTTACACTACTAATATTATATGATCCTAATAAACCTGATGAAGATGAAGTTAAACATTACAACAACCCTGTTGTAGACATCTTCTGAGTCAGTGCATATATGATCTACAAATAAAGGTGACTTGACTTAATCGTAACATCTCTAATCTCATTTACAGTCACTGTTTACAATTAATTAAGAGTTGAAAACCTTGAGTAAACATCTGCGAATGTACTAAGAAACTATAGAATGTAAAAAAAATGCCCATGCTGTTGTTGGAACGTAACGCATCTGCAGTTTCTCAAGTCATTGTTCCTATGTAAAAGAGCAACGGCATTGGTGTGCGATGGCTTCCACTCATGAATATTATTTTCATGTCTTTGCTCTTCAAGCCTCACCTGGCTGCATGACCCGTGGCTTGGCTCCGAGATAAGCCAGGTTAACGTTGGCCTTTCTGCCGTCAATGATGGGGTTTGGGTCCTTACAGGCTCTGTCTGCAGCGGAGCGGTCTCCCATAGTCACCTTTAGAACAAAAACAGGAGTGTGGTGCATGAGACATATCCACCCTGAAGCAATAAATGCTCTAAAAACTAGGCTAATTCTGGTAACAAATACAAACCCACACTTCAATTCCCCTATTTGGTACAGAGCAACCACATTGCAGACATCACATAATTCATGACCTCTACCCCAAATCAGGCTTTAACCACAAGATTATGTGGGGTTTATTCATATTTAAGATGTCTAGGCAACAAAAAATCATTAAAGACAGAGGTCACTTAAGCTTTTTATATCTTTGTGAAACATGGAGTTTAGTGTTGTGAAATCCACTAGGGTCCTTTAACTTCTGCAGTGTGGACTGTCAAAACTTTACAAGTTGGCTTGTTTACTCGCTCTTATCAGTGTGATTCTAGTCAAACTCGACAGCTGAGCCAACAAAGGCCTATTTTAGTTATCAATTGTGCACTTTATTCGGTCAGATATTACTATTCTCACTATCAACGCGCAGTTTGAATTCACGAAATAAAATGTCGAGCAAAATGACAGACACGGTCACCGTTTATTTGCATTGCATCTTTTATATCCATATGAAAGTGAATGGGGACTGGAACATTCCGCATTCGATCTCGTTTCGTGTTCAACATGAGGGTGCGTAAACGAAACTTTCATTTTGGTGTGAACTGTCCCTTTAACGCCACAGGTTTAAATTTCAGTCAGTGAAAGAAATGAATGGAAACAGCGCAAAACAATTGTAAAAGTTTTAAACATTAAGCATTTGAGCACGCGCGCTACGTATAAACGTACGCACATCTGATGAGTTGCTATTTAAATGTGTTGTGTCACGCTGTCACACAGCGTGTTTGTATCAAAGTTTACGTTTGACAGCTTCCAAATTTATACTTACAAATCCATAACCCCTGGACTTTCCAGTCT